ACAGTATTTGATATCATTAAAAGATTCAGAGAATCTGGAGAAATCTCTGTATGCAAGGGACGAGGCTGAAAATCAATACTGGCTGGCCGTGATCTTCAGGCCCTCAGGCAGCACTGCATTAAAAACAGACATGATTCTGTAGTGGAAATGACTGCATGGGCTCAGAAACACTTCTGAAAACCACTTGTCTGTGAACATAGTTCAGCGCTGCATCCACAAATGCAAGTTAAAACTCAAAGAAGAAACTGTATATAAACAGGATCCAGAAACACTGCCACCTTCTCTGGGCCTGAGCTTATTTAAAATGGACTGAGGTGAAGTGGAAAAGTGTCCTGTGGTCTGACGAATCAACATTTGAAATTCTTTTTGGAAATCATGGACACTGTGTCCTCTGGGCTAAAGATCACTCAGCTTGTTATCAGTGCACAGTTCAAAAGCCAGTATTCATGATGGTATAGGGGTCCATTAGTGCACATGGAATGGGTGATGTGCACATCTGTAAAGGCACCATTAATGCTGAACAATATATACGTTTTGGCAACATATGCTGCCATCCAGACAACGTCTTTTCCAGGGAAGGCCTTGATTATTTCAGCAAGACAATGACAAACCACATTCTGCACGTATTGCAACAGCCCCTGAAGTGCTGAGCAGCTGAAATTCTACATCAAACAAGAACTGGAAAACATTTCACTTTCAAAACTACAGCAGTGTCTCTTCAGTTCCCAAATGCTTACAGACTGTTGTTAAAAGGAAGAGGTGATGAAACACAGTGGTAAACATGCCCCCGTCCCAACTTTTTTGTAACATGTTGTTGGCATCAAATTCAAAATGGGCATAAATTTTTCAAAAAAGAATGAAATTTCTCAGTTTCACCATTTAATATGTTGTCTTTGTAGTATTTTCCTTTGAAAATATGGTTTACATGATTTGCACATCATTGCATTCTATTTTTATTTACATTCGGCACGTCCCACCTTTTTTTGGAAATGGGGTTGTATGTTTTTACTAAATGAATGTCTGTTCATTAACATGTGCAAATACTCAAAATTTTAATTCAGAATTATCCCTGAAGTCAGGTTGTATTTGTCATGGAAGAAGTACTTCTTGAGGGATAGAGCATAATTGGAGCAAAACTCGGGCTCCTTTCTAAACAGCTGATCTTCTCACTAAACGAGTTTGTTGTTTTTATTGTCTCTATTCCTTAACTGGTGTATATTCATTGCTCACATTAGAATTGTCCACCTGGCATGCACTTGACCACTTTATAAGCTCTACCTACCTTTTGGGTCCACTATATAGGTGTACTATTACAGACTATAGCCCATCTGTTGTCATGCACAACCCTACCCCATTCATCGTGGGTCTGTTTCTGACCACAGGACCTCTGTTGACCAGATATTATTTGGGCTGTGGTCCATTCTCAGCACAACAGTGACATTGACATGGCAGTGTGTGGTACTAGTATGACACTGCTCTGAGTGCTGTGGTCAGAAACTGACCATTGATGAAGCACTAGAGGATGACCAACACAAGTTGTGCTACAGGGTTTGTAGTAATAAAGTGGCCAGTGAGTGTAGTCCATCCTAATTCTAAATCGCATCAAAGTCCTGAAATTGTCGTGAAATATGAGATTAATGAAGGGTTTCCTAAAGAGTCGTAATTGAATTGAATCGTTCTAAGATTTTACAACCCCCACCGCCCACCAATGCAAAAGCTTGTCTGCAGGATCGCATGAGTTCATGCCACTGTCTGTTGCACTTCAGATTAAAATGCCTCTGTTTAATCCTCTCAGTCTCAGTGCCCCCCTCGGCAGCCCCCCTTTCTCTCTCAACCCCGCAGACAGAAGGGATAGAAGGGACTCTTGACGGTGAGCTATTGTGCCCTCTGTGTGGCCTGCTCTGGGCTGGCTGATGCTCTGAGAAGGCTCTGTTTGAATATCAGAGTTACCGACTCTGCGGCTCTAATTCCGCTCTTTGGGAATTCCAGACAGTCCAGATTCGCCGTCAGTTATTTCCTCGTACAGCAGGGGTGTCATTTTAACAGTTTTGTGGACATAGAGAAAGTTTTATTGAGCCGTTTTGGGCCCAGGAAGCCCCTCAGGACCAGTGAAAAACACACTGTCTTCCAGAGATAAATGCCAGTCTACAGAAAAAAAATATTTAATTATGATGTTGGCTCCTATTAATAAAATCCACATAAAAGTCTCATATGGGTGATTTAGATGTTTGGATAATTAAAAAGAGGAAGCTGCTGAGCTCCACAGGGATGTGAAACGGTGTAGCTGCAGTGTTATTGTTTGGGGTCTTTCCAGTTTCCTCTTAACGGTTAACAGTTTACAGGGTGTTTTTTTTACCTATGATACCTATAGATAAAGGTGTAAATCTCTGACCTCACGACTGTGATTCTTTAGGAATCGACTCGTGGAATCTCAAATTTCACTGATTGTTTTGGTAAGATTAAGGTATATTTAAGGATCTGTATCATGGAAAAACTGAATTATTCTCACTTTTTTAGTAGAAGAGCTTGATGTAGTGTGTAATGTAAACAGAGGTTAGTCACACATCAGTATTAAAAGAACAGTAACAAAAACAGGCTGCTGAATTCAAAAAGATAAAGAGAGTTTGGAAAGTGATCATGTAGTAAAGAATGGCTGTTTTCGGTTCCTACACCCACACAGATTTAATAAGTGGACCTCAGGGAAAATGGTAAAATAATAGTGCTTTGTTATACTCAATTTCTCATTCATTTATGTCGTTGGTAAATACAAATGGTATCCAATACCTTATTTACTACACTGAATGTTTGTTAGAATTCTTGAACACTCTTCTGGGTTCATGACCATTTTCAGAGACACTTGCTCATCATGGATTAAAAAAAAATAAAAATTATATGACCATAAGAACGCAGCAAGTACTTAGTCATTGTTGTGACAAGGTTGGTGAGGGGTAAGGTTAGCTAAAAATTAAACACAGCCACACTTCCCACTATGAAGTCACCCATTTTCTTTGAATGACTGAAGCAGGATAAGTTTCTTCATTAGCCATGTCACATACAAACATCACTGCTGTCGGAACAAATCCTCATATCTCCAAAATGATAACTTTACAGGAGAAGGAAAAACATACTTTACATTTAATGGAACTCAATAGAACCAGAGTTTTGTTCCAAGCAAATTTAGGCCATCTCTGTTGGCCCATTCATCATGAATTTTATACACAATGTAAAGGACATCAGGCATCAAACTGTGTCAAAAACTGAAAAACAACCAAAATGGAGATAGAAGGTTTTGTTCTGACAGCAGCGATATATATGTATGTATATATGTGTGTCTGTGTGTCTGTGTGTGTGTCTGTGTGTGTGTCTGTGTGTGTCCATTCAGTAAACCAGCTAAACTACAGGTGAAAACAAAGATTTTAAAAGACCTCTTGATCTTACTTCTGTACCATCGCTGCTGACCTGGTAGCCTAAAATTTAGTCAGATTCATTTGTCTTATCTAAAATAACGTTTCAGCACATCTGTCTCTCAGCCTCTTTGGTACATTTATTGTTAAAAAAAAAAGGGCTTAAAAGTGTGTAGAACCATTTCCTTTTTTCAATTGGAAACTGGAATATTTGGATTAAGAAAATGAACTATATGAACATCATATAAGGAAGATGCATTAATGAAATGTGTTGTTGTTGTTGTTGTTGTTGTTGTTGTTGTTGTTGTTGTTGTTAGAATGAGTATTTGTTGACGCTGTTTAGTCCAGCCCTTAAAATACAAGAAAAATGTGAGAAGTGGTGCCTTAAAAATACTGAATGCAGATACGATTGGTCACTTTATTAGAAACACCTCAATCATACTTCTACTCACTGGCTCCTGCTTTATAGGTTGTGTTATTAGTTTCAAGTGTTTTCCAACGCAAGTACGTGGAAACCACCATGACTTATGTTTACCACCGTCAGACCCTGCTACATGTAAGAAAACAGCCAGAAACCAAACTTGAAGCAACTGTACATTTTCTCGGTACTGTGTACTGTCTGTGTTCTCTTTTGTATTTACTGGAAGTCTTTTGTATTCATTGTACTGTATTGTCTGCACTGTGTATATTGTATTGATCTGAACTTGTATTCCTGTGTTGGTCCTGGAGGAATGCAGTTTTGTTTCACTGTGTGCTTGTATGTAGCTGAAATGACAAAGCTTCTTGAACTTGAACTATATAATAGACACATTTGTCCAGTAATGATGATGATGATGATGATGATAATAATAATAATAATAATATGATAATAATAATGATATTGATGATAATAATGATGGTGGTGGTGGTGTTGTTGTTGTTGTTTGTTGCCTTAATTTGCCCGTAACATTGTACTGTATAGACAACAAAAACACAAACAATTGTTTGTTTCATATTCAAAATTGTCTTAACAATTTACATCTAAACACATTAATTATACAGTCATGTGCAAAAGTTTGAATATCTTTGGTTAAATTACATGTTTTGTTGATTTTCTATGTGAAAATCAGTTATCAGTTAACACATCCTCTACAGGGACACACTTTTGTACAGGCCTTTTCTGCATATTACAGTCAATTTATTTGCTGAGTTTAACATATTTGAAAAAATATTTTATACAGTATGAAATGAAATGTCAACTTTTGCACAGCCACATTTTCTTTTATTGTTCCAATATGTTAAATGTAGCAAATAAACAGTATTTGTGCATTAAAATGTGCAGATGTGTTACCTTTTCCCCTAGAAAATTAACAATGTCATTTGACCATGAGCACCCAAACTTTTGCATGCTACTGTGTATATATACATTTATTATAGTTCATTCTAACAATCCAAAATCAACACAGTTGAATTACCATTTTCAAATCAGTGTGTCACGATGCATCGGTGCATTTTAATACCCCTAGTCACAGAAAGTAAGGCAAGTGGTCAGCCCTCTAAATTGGAGTGGTCTTAAATGGTTCAGTCTGTTAACATGTGTGTTTTTTGCACCCTCAGCTGCAGTTTGCTAGCGAGCAGAGCGATGCTAGCTGGAGCTCAGCCAGTGCCAAAGACCTGGTCTTCCTTGTGCAGGTCTCCTGCCAGGTGAGTGGACAGACCAACTGTGTGTGTGTATATGTGTGTGTATAGTTTTTGTGTGTAAGTTATTAATCTCTCTCTCTCTCTCTCTCTCTCTCTCTCTCTCTCTCTCTCTCTCTCTCTCAACTCTGTCTGTCTCTGTTTTTTTTTCTTTCACATATTTCACTGTCCCCTTGTCCCCTTCTCCCTCCCTTTTTGGTCTACTTTGCCTCTGCCTCCATTTTCCCATCTCCTCTCTCTCTCTCTCTCTCTCTCTCTCTCTCTCTCTCTCTCTCTCTCTCTCTCTCTCTCTCTCTCTCTCTCTCTCTCTCTGTGGTATGTAGGGTAAGATGTGGATGGTGCGCCGCTCGTATGAAGAGTTCCGGACACTGGATGCTCATCTGCACCAGTGCATCTATGACCGGCGTTACTCCCAGCTACTGCCTCTGCCTGCACTCGCTGAGATCGGGGACAGAGTGGAGGTGAGTGGGGAATGGTTTCGCCACAGGTTGACCCCCTTTTCTCCTCCTAGGGCCACCTGTGTGGCTTCTGCTTAAGGCTGTCAGAATAAATCTCAGTTATGCAGTATGGAGGTCAGTGGCCACTTATATAGGTCAGGATGTATATTACGAGTGGCTGGTTATATACAGCCTGACTCCCTGTTGTTACTGTGTTATTAAGGATGAGACATTGCTTTCCTGTTTAAATGTAAGCACTAATGATGGCAGGTGTCGGTTTTACATGCAACAGGCTGTAAAGAGGTCTGGTGCTTGTAATTAGTCACCTGTATATAAAGATCTAAAGTGACCTGCTTTAATGACTGAAATGACCTGCTTTAATGACAGTCTCTCTCTCTCTCTCTCTCTCTCTCTCTCACCCTCTCTCTCTCTCTCTCTCTCTCTCTCTCTCTCTCTCTCTCTCGTGCTCTCACTCTCTCTGTCTCAGATCTTCACCCCTATGCTCTCTGAGTACCTGAACCGTCTCTCCATGATCGTGGACAGTAAGCTGAACTGTGGGCCTGTGCTCACCTGGATGGAGGTGAGGAAAATTTGTTCAAAGGTCACTGACTTCTTTCTGATAACATGACAAAGAAGCCTTGATGGACTGTTCCATTTGTATAGTGTGATAAAAGGGCATATATATGTAATATATGTAATGAAGACCCACCTTTCTTGCTGCAGCCACGTTTTTAGAACACAGCTTATGTGTATATGGAGGGAAATAGGAAGTGAAATAGCTTAATATGTATGACAGAAGTGGTTAGGAGACTCCTTCCTTCCTTTCATCCATCCTTCCTTCCTTCCATCCTTCCTTCCTTCCTTCCATGCATCCATCCTTCCTTCCATCCATCCAACCATTTATCTTTCCTTCCTTTCATCCATCCATCCTTCCTTCCTTCCATCCATCCATCCATCCTTTATTCTTTCCTTCCTTCTCTCCATCCTTCCTTCCTTCCTTCCTTCCTTCCATCCATCCATCCTTTCCATCCATCCTGCCTTCCTTCCATCCACCCATCCACACTTCCTTTCTTCCTTCCTTTCTTCCATCCATCCATCCATTTTAACATGTCATTTGATGTGTCTTTCAGATTGACAATCATGGCAACCGGTTTCTGCTGAAAGAAGAGGCATCTTTAAATGTCCCTGCGATCGCGGCAGCTCATGTGATCAAGCGATACACTGCCCAAGCCAGCGACGAGATCTCCATTGAGGTACCTGCACATGTCGAAGACTTGTCCGTTAAAGGAATCTGCATTTTAGCCGTTTTCTTTTTTTTGTATCTCCATTGTCATCGTTTTTTACTTTCCTACACCATTTGAACACGGCGGCTGTCCTTTACATTCAGTAAAAGAACATTATTGCTGAATGGGCCAATAGAAATGCTCCAGAATCTTTACATTTAATTGACATTTAAAGCAAAGACCCTTTTTGCTTTCCCCTGTAAAATTACCATTTTGAAGGGTTTTGCAAATATGTTTGAAATATTTTCATATGCATCTCTATTTTCGATGACCTTTCACTTAATGGGAGTCTAAAATTTAAATATTACAACATAATACAAAATTTATTTCTGTATTTTTTATTTCAAACTACACATATCATGTACAAATAGCTTCTACAAAAAAACCCACAGTAATATTGATCGGGCTGCTAACTGTGGCTAATGTGATGTCTACACGTCAGACGCAAGGTCCTTGGTAGGAATATCGACGTGTTGTCCTGTGCTTTGTCCTGCCCTCATTCTACACTTCCACAGCATGCCTGGTTCTGCTGTGCTGTCACCCTCTCCTCTTCTTCATCACCATCCTCTTCCTCCTTCATCAGGTTTATTCCTGTCCCCCCCTCCCCAGTCCCTGCTCCATATAGACTGGCTCTTTCTGGGCCACAGAACAGGGTGACCTGGCACATTTAGAGTGCTCTCTCTCTATGTCTCTCTCACAGTGTCTATCTCTCTGCCTCTGTCTCTCTCTCTGTGCTTCTCTATATCACTTTCTCGTAAGTACTATTCGGACAGGGTTAGTTTTGCGTTTCTCTGTGATTTTAGTCCCATCCAGATCTGCCATGTCAGGTGATGCTCCTGCATCAGTAAAGATTCCAGCGAATTTACCTGCTATAAAATGAACAGTAGAAATAACACAGGATTATATTACTCCTGTGCGAATCGACATGTCAGTAAATTTTCCATCTAATCTTATTGGAAGGAGTTTTTTGTGCATTTTCTTAAGGATAGAGGCATTCGAAGAAGCATTTACTTACACTCTTTGTGGCCCAGATCAAGCCAGTATGTATTGTACTACCTCAAATGTACCACTTTGAACATTAAAACGTATAAAATGGCAAAAAATTGATTAAAAAAAATAAACATTCTATGCACCGCTGTTGTCTGCTGGCTTTAAATTCTCGAGCTAATGACACATTGCATTCATGTGAAACAGTAGACGTCTTGGATGTAGATACTATCCTATGTTTTCCACATGTTTTCTACTTGTGAGCAAGTGAATGTCTTTTTTGGTGTGATGGCAGTGCAGTTGAGAAGCCACTTCCATCTCTGTAATTTATGCTGAGATTTCTTATCTCATGCAAATCAGTCATAAATGTTCGAGACATCCATGTTATAGACAACCTACATTATCCCAGCTCCCCATTTAAACCAAATCCTGCCTGAACAGTATCTTAGACTCTATTGCTCACTCACTCTTTTTGTTCTTGTTTTTTTCTTTCTTTCAATATTTTTTTGGCTTTTAGTATTTTTTTTTCCCTTTTCTTTCTTTCTCTTTCATTTTCTCTCCGTCTCTCTGAATTGTTAATCTTTTTTTCTGTCATCTCTGGTTCTTGTAATCTGTATTCACTCTGTAGTCACTCTGCATTTTTTTCACATCTCTTTCTCTTTTAATTGCCCTCCCTCCCTCCTTCCTTCGCCTCTATTTTTTCCTTGCAGTCTTCGTGCGTCTTCTCTCTGGTGAAAAGCAGGCGCTGCTCTTTTTCTCACTGCCCACTTCCCTTATCTGGGCCAGAAGTTGCGTGTGACAAGAAGCAAACTTGTAGTGGGAGACCAGGCGTGTAGTGCAGCATGTTTTGGCTCAGCTCGTAGCTGTTGTGGCTGCAATTGTATCATGTTTTGTCTGCAACTCCCAGAGTCGTATATATTGACAGGTGTATTAGATGCTTGCTTTAAAGCTGACCTTAACAAAAGCACAACTATAAGATGCCAATCTTTGTTGGTTTAGTTTTGTTTATCATTGTATTAAGATTTTTTGATAGAGTCTACTCATTTCAGCTACCGGTTGCTCTCTGTTGTTTCTAAAGGTTGGCGATATTTTGTCTGTGATTGATATGCCACCTAAAGAGGAGACCACCTGGTGGAGAGGAAAGCATGGTTTCCAGGTACCAGCATACCAACTCTTACAACTGTACTTGTTTTCCCATCACACAGAGCATCATCAGCAAGACCAAACCTAAGCTCGATCGTTCTCTTTTTGCTCTGCAGGTTGGTTTCTTCCCCAGTGAGTGTGTAGAGCTGATCAGTGAGAAGATACCCCAGTCTGTAAGTGGTCCTACCACTAAACTAGGTAATGCACACCTTCACTTCACTTCACTTCACTTTTCTCTAATTGTGTATAAACTGGATATTTTTGCACTGTAGACATTACGACCCCAGTAAGTTGCTCTACAGTGCACCATTTCAACTCTGAGACCACTTTTAATGGCTTGACATCTCAGTTGATTTATACAGAAATTTTAAAATTCGGTAGAGTTTCTTTTTAACTGATTGCCGTTGTTGCCGTTGTAGAGGGAGATCCGGTCAGCTCCAAGCCTGGCATCGCCAGTGCACCTGGACCGCCTTCTCCCACTTCAGGTAGGATTGAGATATAATAGCAATGACTTGTGATTCTTTCTTCAAGTCATTTGTCTCTACTTACATCTTGTGCCAGCAAAAGAGACTGAAATAGCCTTGCCTGCTTCTGTTGCTCTCTGCATTTTGACGTTCTTGCTGTTTGGAGGATTTTAGAGGCCTTGAGTTGAGATGTTTAGGCAGACAGAGCCTAAACTGTTTTGCCTCTAATGAGGCTGCAAATTGTGCCAAGTCAAATGTTCACATGTGCTCTGTGTGTCTCTGAAGAGGCAGTACTGTCAGTATGATAGAGGTGCAAATCTCTGCTGTTCTTTGCAGTTGATATGTCATCAGATCACCTCAGCTTCTTTAAAAGCTCCCTAAAGAAGGCAGCATTGAAGTGGATGCAGTTTGTTTATAGGAATCCTGAATGCTCTTTGAGTCATGTACTGTATGGTAGATTGTTTCCCTCTATTTCTTTCTGTTTCTTTCTCTTAGTTCTTCAGCCTTGGTTCCTAAGACTTGCTGGTAACATCTTCCGAGTTGAATATTAACACATGTTCTCTCTAATTTGTGAAAAACAGTGCTACATTTCCTAACATTTCGTTGAGTTTGTGAGCCCATTCGGAGCGTGTAACCAGGATTAGAGCCATTTATACAACGAGCAGACTGCGCGGAGAGCAGGAGTGGGTGGTGTGGAGAGCCTGACAAGTGGAGGTGGAGGAGTGGGCAGCTACCACACGGCATAAATCATATTGAAATGTTGTGATTATCTCTCTCCTCGCTCTATAAAACTCAGGAATCTCGCTGTATAAATGAGAAGCTGTTGTTCTGTCTCCGGGTTTCGATTACTGATTTGTTTCTAGTACTGTTGTTTAGGCTTCTTCAGCCCCCACCCTAATCCTAATCTCTCTAACACATTCCACTGATCTGCTCCTTATTTACTTTAAAGGAATTCTTTACCCAAAAATGCTAAGGTTGCTGCTAATGAAGAAAAGCTAAGAAGGGGCCCAGCTGGCACTGTGCCAAAGAGATATTCCAAGTTATTCTGTTAGTATTTTAGGATGAAGTATTCCTTTAATCACAAACCTTTAACAGATTAAAGCAGGTGTCCTTGTATACCTTACTACCATGGACTCGGTTAAAGAAATAGTTTGGTGGAAAATTAGATTTGCTTGTTTTTCCCTTCTACCCAACTGAAGTCGATGTAGCCAAAAATGGTGTATGTTCGAAGTTTCGAAGTTTAGTTTTGGAGCTGTGATGCTAACATAGCCGAGTAATGGAAGCTTATACTTTGCTAGTTAGCACAATGCGATCTTAATGTCTAAATCATCATATATTTACCTCAAACCACATCACGAATTTCATTTGTGCTTGTTTGTTCATAAAAACACTTTTGATAAAAATTTTATTGTTTAGTCATACTTCATTAACTTTTGCTCCTAAGGTACTTTGCATATAAAATACAGTCGTATCTAGTAGCTTGGGCACCCCTGGTCAAATTACATTTTTTTTTTTTTTAAGTGAAAATAAGTTGACACATCCTGTAGAGAGAGGAAAAATATAATTGTGCACTAAAATTTACGGAAAATGCCATATTGAATTTGTTTCCTGTAGAGGATGTGTTAACTTATTTACACTTAGAAAAAAAAAAAAAATGCAATTTGACCAACTTTTGCATATGACTTTGCATTTACATAAAATCTAAAAATACCTGCTGTACAGAAACCATTTCTAGACATGTGATGCCATATCTTTGAGTGTCCAATTTTGTCCATATTCATAAACGTTAAAGTGTCAGACTTGGTTGTGATGATGTAGGCCTGCAGTTTCCATAATGCTAACTGGTGGGGAGGAAGCTTAAAGCTAAAAGAGCTTCAGACAAACTTAGCTGACCGACTACATTTGGGCTAAGAGGGAATTTGTTTAAATTACATTTACATTACATTTTCTTTAAACTTTTGTTTGAATTGCAGACTTTTAAAGGATTAAGGGAAGTGTCTATCCATACCATAACTACTCTACCACAACATGGGCCCAGTCAGTACTGTCCATCTGTGTTGCTTTCACTACTGCTGTTGAGAATATAAAGGCAACTTATAGTTGACCTAACGTCATATTTACACAAATGCCATACAGGAGCAATGTCTTCTTGGTGCAAACCTGAGTAGATGCTTATGTACAGATCAGGACTCACAGCCAGGAGAGATAAAGATTCATATTGTATTTTCAGTGGTTTAGCTATCTCGCCTCCGGGTGGGTCATTGCATCCTGGAGAGGAGCTGGAGAACCACTTATTTTTTGCCCGTTTGCCAGTTTGTAACTTTAGCTCTCTTGCGCCCCCTTGTGTCAGTGTCCAAGAAACACGGCAAGCTGATGGGCTTCCTGCGCACCTTTATGAAGTCCAGACCCAGCAAGCAGAAACTGAAGCAGAGGGGCATCCTGAAGGAACGAGTTTTTGGCTGCGACCTGGGAGAACATCTCCTCAACTCCGGGCAAGATGGTACTGAAACACAAGCATGGGATCTGTGCTCTGCCCTCAAATGCATTCTTTTATAGCAGCTGTTCCGAAGTTGGACAGGTTTTAAAGAATGTTGAAAAAATTCATATTCAGTCTAAAGAGAAATTGTACCATATAAATCATTTAAAAAAAAAAACACTTTTTCAAATGAGATATATTTTGTGTGCATGTGAAGGTCGCACTCTTAGGATAGATTGGTAGTAGTCTTTTTTTTATCAGGTCATTGAAACATTTGCATGCTGGCAAATTCATCATTGAGATTTCCAACCTTTCAAGTTTCGATTGGCACCAACAACTTTGTCCAGCCCGCTAGCATAGCATTTTAACTGAAGTGTTATGCCGCTTTTAAAAACATCACAACAGTCATATAAAAGTTTTTCATGCTCACAAAAAAATTTTAACAACAAAAATGCCAGGAAGCTTCGCCCACAGTGCTACAGTATTTATAAATCACTACAGTTTCACTACAGTTTTTCATTAGATTGAATGTGACTTTTGTCAGTGTTCTTGTCCAAACTCGCTTCAGTTAATACCAAAAAACGCACATTTGAATGTCTTAAATTACATAAATACTGTGGCTTTGAGAGAGAAACTTCCCAGTATTTTGTTGTTTTCTGTTGTCAGTAGCTCTTATTTTTCATTGGTTCTCTTCACAAAGGTCTTTTTGTGTTATAGGGCATCAAAATCTTTCGTATATGATGTTCTTGATTAGTCCTCCTGCATCCATTACTTGGGAAAAATGTGTCGTAATAGTGTTATGAAGGAAATAAATGTCCTTTAGTTTAAGGCCCTTTGCTTTAATACAGTGTTATTCAATTCTTAAGTTGTTTGCAAATGTTGCAGTGTTGCTTCATAACAACTTTTCTCAATGCCCTGTGTGGGTAGCCTTAAAGTGTTACTAGAAATTGTTAGCAGTCTTCTCAGTAAATAGGAGTTTGTTCATAATACTATGAAATAAGCTTGTTTTATCTACAGGCTTGCACTGATGCTGATAAATTTGTGGGTGCTCATTATCAATAGATTTTATAGGCCAGTGTTCTCTGTGTCATACTGGTGGTTGTATTCTTACTGTTTGTTAATGTAGTTCCCCAGGTATTAATGAGCTGCTCTGAGTTCATAGAGAAGCACGGCGTTGTGGACGGCATCTACAGACATTCTGGAATTTCCTCCAACATCCAGAAGCTCAGGTTAGTCTGCTTTTTCTGAACCCAATACACGAACGCAATTAGCGCAGTATATGATTTGTTGTGTTACTTATGTTTCTGCATACAGAAAGTCTTTTAAAATGTGTTGACGGCTTAGATGAGTTTGCCTTGTATATGTGTATGAATGAAGATGGTGAAATGAGTGTCATTATTACATGCTACACCACAACCGATATGTGTGCATATTATAGGTTACCTACTTAATGACTTTGAGTCACTTTCCAATAAATCCACCTTAAAAATCCCCCTAAAGGTTTGACTATGCTCTGTTTCGAGCTTAAAGCAATAGTTCACTGAAAACACTCGCCGTGAATGAAAGCTAATGATAACTGGTCGATGTAATGTTACGTTGGGTTAAATTTGTCATTTCACTCTGTACCATCTGTAGGCACGAGTTTGACAGCGAGAATGTTCCGGACCTGACTAAAGACATGTACATGCAGGACATTCACTGTGTAGGCTCTCTCTGCAAGCTGTACTTCAGAGAGCTGCCCAATCCACTCCTCACGTACCAGCTCTATGACAAGTTTGCTGTGAGTTTTAAAACACTTGTTCCTTCACCAGGATCATCATTCTCTGATCTTCGTTGTTGCTTAGTCTTAGATGCAGTGCTTACATTCTGAGTTATGCATGTTTTGCAAAAAATCTAATTTAAGGCCCATAGAAATTGCATTCATTTCAGTGGAATACCCCATAATGAGTTCTGCAGTATGACCCTTTCTACCACCAGTATTGTCCATGGTGATTGCAAGCCTATATGCTTGGTTTTATCTGTTAGCAATGGATAAAACCAACACCTGAACTATATACTTAGGTGGGTTGTCCACATACTTTTGGCCATATATTGTATTTTTGCTACAGATGAGTGTGCAGCTGTCATGAGCATATGTTTATCTGATATAATTATATATAAAGATGTTGAACTTTGAGTTGTAGTTTGTTATAGGCATGTTTATGTATATGCAAGTGTACGTGTGTTTGTCTTTGTAGGATTGTATGGGGGAGATGACTGAGGACGAGCGCATGGTGAAAGTGCATGATGTCATCCAGCAGCTACCTCCTCCCCACTACAGGTACTCACACTTTAGATCATTGGTGTCCACCTTAAGGCAGAAGACACCATTCATTCACACTTACAAAGGGAATTGGTTTTCTGCAAAATTAAATCGTTATGATGTGAACAAAGCAGTTTGATGGAGAAACTTGATGAGTAAGAATTGTTCACAGCGGTGTTGATAAGAGAAGTTCACAGTGGTGTTGAGTTGTGAGAAGATTTTGGCCTAGAGAGGTGCATGAGGGTGTTATAAGGCAAAATAGTGCCCGAAAAATGTATTCTTTTGGACTTACCAACAGCATTACATATAAAATGTAGATTGACTGATCATTTTGGAGGTGGTTATATTTGCATTGTCACTGTGACCTGATTCCTATCACCAATAAGTTTAAAGGAGAAATATGTACTATATTTACTGTACTAAATCAATTAACCATGATATGTCACCAGAGATTAAGGAAATATGCTGAATAAGTTGAAATACTGGCTTCTCCAACAACTGTGCTAAAGCACGTATGTTCTCCTTTGAAATTTCCATTCCGGAGCGCGAAGTCTGTTTGTGTTTTGGCCTGTGAACCCGCCCCCTGCCCGTTTTCCAGTACTATTTCGACACTTCAGGTTGCCAGATATGAGACAAATTGGCAGGCAAACACAGCAAGCTGCAGCAATGAAAGCCAGCAAACAAACTAACCAAACGTAGCTAATTAGCTAAACTTAGCTAATTTATCACAGGTACTAGTAGGGATGGGCATTTTAAGTAATTTCAACATTCAAGTATTCGCATTCATATTCTTTGGTGCACTGCAGTTTAATGTTGCACTTATTTATGGACGTTCATTGTCCTCAAATTGGCAACCCGCATCAGCGTCAAGTCTGGGGAGGAGGCAGGGGCAGACAGCTGTCTCCAGTGTTTTGAATTTGTACGTTGGTACCAGTTTTGAACGCTTGCTGCCAGTGTTACATATTACTCCTTTAATAAATTTCTGTACATTTTCACATCACAACAGTTTTAATAACTATATTTATATTTCAACCTTTGAATTTTGAATTACAATGGATTTCCTCTTTAACGTACATGATGATAATGATAATGACTGTGCATGTCTTTCTCAGGACACTGGAGTACCTCATAAGACACCTAGCCCTGCTAGCCACCAAGAGTGAGAAGACCAACATGCATGTTAAAAATTTGGCCATCGTCTGGGCTCCAAACCTGCTCAGGTGACCATTCCTCTGCTTCCTCTGCATAGTTCACCAGTTTTCTACACATAGATGATGACTGGTTTTGGAATGAACTGCAGTACCTGTGGTCATTCATCACTGAAAATGACTGTCTTGGTGAAGGTTTATGTGTACTGTACTGTACTGTTCTTTTTTTTATATTTCATATAGCCTCGGTATGGCAAATTCAGACCAGAAAGCTAAACGCTGCAAGTAACCAGTTATTTTAGTTCACTTGACAGTGCATAGTTTCTTTAGAGAGTTGAGTCATTTCCTGGAGAGTGTAATCATTTCATGGTCTGCATTCTATTTATTGTTGGAAGTCTTTTTTTCTTTTTCCATGGTCTGCAATTTGTGGTTGGAAGCATTATGTTCTGTATGCCCTCTTGAGTGTGCATTGGTGCACAATGCAGGGAAAGGCTTTATTACAAAGAGAAACACACAGAAGCACTGTCTGAGCTGGATTAGTTTTATCAAGGGACATTCTGTAATGTAATCTGTTAGAAAATTGACTGCCTGAGTTCTATGGGATGTAATACGTGTCTAAATTCCCCAAATTGCTACAGGCAGCCTGAATGTGCAAGCCAGGTTTAGTTATTACATTACGGTGCAGCCAGTTTGACCAAATTAATATTACTGTGGGAGTTCCAGGTTCAGCCAGTTACAGAAGGTTATTCACTCTGCAGTTATTACTGTCACATCTGTGAAAACTACATTCTCGATTGATTCGGAATTAAAATCATAGATCCTGCCACTAACGTCTTAAATTACAATACAGTACCTCCTAAGGCTGTATGATGCAGACATGTAATGTTCCGTAAAACTTGAGTTCAATAAAGTTGAATATCAGAATGATAGTAAGAGAACTGATAAATTCTGATTTAAAACAGTGGAAATACAACAAGGACAGACTTTTTTTTTGTAATTGTAGCAGGCCTTGTGCTACCTCGGACTTAGGAAGGACGCTGGAGGCAGGAGAAAGGGTTACAGTGGCCATTTTAACTTTATTTTTTATGAAACTGAAAGAAAACCAAAGCTGGCCACTTTTCAGTGGCTTCAAAACTAGACTTTTCAGTCCTTTTCTCCCAAACCAAGCTTTTCAGCTCTTGCTGCTTGTCCCTCTCTTCCACTCTGTTCCCTCTCTGCTCTTTTTAAAGGTGCCCATGCTGCAGGCGCCAGGTCAGCATCAGCTGGCTCTCATTAAGGGCAGCATGAGCACCTGAGCCGAGAGAGAACAAGAGCTTGTTGCTCCGCCTCCATCACAGAGGCAGGGCTCAGGACTCTCGTGCAGTCCTACTCTCCATCGTGATTTCTCTCCCCACTGTCTTCATGAAGTTCCTGGGCTTAGAGTTCGGGCCCTGCCTTCATGCCGGCTCTCGTGGCAGTCATCGGGGCCCAGGGGACGGGTGCATGCCACAGTAAACAGAAATTTAACCTCTTCTTTGAGGAAACACCAAAAAACAATACAAACGTCCCAATTATTACTGCACAAGGTGCAAAATAAAGAGAATTATATACTAAGAGTTACTTCCATCAGAACTCTGAGCACATAGTGTGTTCCATTGAGCATACCTTTTGTACTACAAAAAATATCCATACGGTGGAGCAGATTTGTTGTGGTGGTTGCCATTACTACTTCACACATTTCACACACAACTTTGGGAGTGCGAATAATCAGATTTGAGGCATTTTTACAGTTTAGTCCATTGAAGATAGAATAGGTTGTTATTATTTTTTTTGTAATTGGCTCTGTAGCAGAGTGGTTAAGTCACTTACTCCACAAATCAGGAGACTGGTATGGATGCTGTAATATTAGTGCTCTTAATGCTGTGTTCTCACAATTCCATTAGTTTGGTGATGTGCACATATAACTTAATTTGGTCAGTCCTGTCATCACAGCCTTTAACACTGAATGAATGAATGAATGAACGAATGAATGAATGGTCTTTTTATCATCATGATAAAAACAATCATTCAGCCTTAGTACTTCGTCAGGTAAACCTAAACAAGCTCAAATGGGAATAAAAGACAGAGATGCTGAGGTTTGTCTTTTGCTGTGTGCCCCAGGTCTAAGGAGATCGAGGCAGTGGGGCTCAGTGGAGCTGACCCATTTAAGGAGGTGCGTATCCAGTCTGTGGTGGTGGAGTTCCTGCTCACCAATGTGGATGTGTTGTTCAGCGACTCCTTCACGTCAGTGGGCCGTTTCAGCGCAGGTATGTCTTGGTCTTGACCCTCTGTCTCTTACTTTGTACATGTCACAAGCCTTGCTCAGTTCCGATTTTAGGCTCAGGTCTGATCTCTGCATTAACTTTTCACATTTTGTTTTATGTTTGTGCTCCTGCTGACATGCACTGGATAATGATGATGGTGATATGCACATTCACAGTGAAGTTTGCTACATGGATTTCAGTCGGACAGCTTTCATTTCAGTCAGTATGACCAAGTATCGGACACGTGTCCGATCTAGGACCACATAAGTGTTTCTTTACCCAGGCAGCTCAAATGACATATCCAACTTGAGCCGGAAAGATTTTCTGCAGTCTGAACAGCAAAAAGCCACGTGAACTCAGGCTTTTTACCACTCAGATTTAAGCCACATTTGTATGTTTAAGTTTTGGATCTGTTTTATATTGAATCTCTGGACTGTGTGACACAGTTCAGACAAATCAGATCAGGTTTCTCTTTCCTTCCCACCATCATTCCTTGCACAGTGCTTCTTGACAACAAAATCCTATTGTTTGCCCTGCAATAGTCAGCATATGCACCTGTAACGGCTGGCAATGTGTAAATCCAAGCAAATACAACTGCAGTTTAACTATCCGAATCTGGTTCTGTTGCTTGTATCTTGCAATGTGGAAACAAATCCAATTTGCCCTGCTGGGTGAACAAAGCCAAGGTGTCTTAGGTGTGGTTTGAAAAGATCAGAGCTTTATATTTACACAGCAAATCAGATCTATATCTCATGTAGGCAGAAATTCATAGTGTGTGCATTAGTTTCTCAAGAGCTTTGCATTGTGAAGACTAGTTTAAGCACTGGACACCGATTCTTGCTTTACCATCTAATAACAACCTTGGTTTTGCAATGCTTTTCTCTCTAGTTGTTGTCATCATTCTCCTTTTCCTGACGTCCCTTTTTTCTGTCTAACGCTTGAATAAACCTCTCCTGTCTTTGTAGGCTTCAAACAGCGGCACCAAACAAACATCTGTTGCTCAGTATCTGCTCAAATGCTTACGGTTGTTGCGTTTGCAGAACTTTGTTTAAAATTAGATTACAGTCTGTCTTTGTGTCTTGCTGATGTTTGCCTGAGGCCTTTTCGTTTTACAGCTGTTTTATTCTCCCGACAAGCCAACTGCTGTGAAAATCTTCATGCTTTCAAGTCTAACAGATCTGCAAAAACCTGTTTTAATAATGCAGAGCTGCTACTAAGAGGTGCTTCTGCTCTTTTTCCATCGTTCAATGTCATGAAATAATAATATGCAACCCATGTGGAATCCATTTTTCTCTTGAAATGACACGATCGTAAGAAAGTGCAAGCTTTATGTGATATGCATGTATTTTGCATTGAGTTTTAAGATTTTCCTGAAGTGTTCTATTACAGGTTTTGGTTTAAAAGTGGTTTGATTTTACTATATTTAATATCCTTCAGTTTATTATAGTGTCCTAAATCATGGTGGGTACCTAGGCTGCCCGAAGGAAAAAAACCTACTTTATTTTTAATGTAAGTCAATGAAACCAGACTTTTTTTCCAAGTAATTTTGGGCCATTTCCTTGTCATGAAATTTACGCACAATGTAAAGCACAACAGGCATTTTCAAAATATGTCCAAAAACAGAAAAATGACAAAAATGGAGATACGAGGTTTTACTTAAATATCGCATTTTCTGCAAATTTTAGCACAATTGTTATTTATTTGCTGAGTTCATCATATTGGAAAAATTAAAACATAGCATACAGTCGTGCAAAAGTTTAGGCGCTCCTGGTCAAATTTACTTTTTTTTTTGTTTATTTTCTAAGTGAAAATATATTCTCACATCTTCTACAGGGAACAAGTTCTGCACTTTTAATGCACGTTTTTTTGCCAAATATATTGAAGTGTGAGATGCACAAATTATGGCTCATTTTATAATTTATGGTCCAATATGTGGAATTAAATTTGCAGAAATGTGCCATATGTAAATTTGTTCTCTGTAGTAAGTGTGTACTTATTTTTACTTATAAAGTCAACCAAACATCACTTGACCAGGTGCATCTAAATCTTTGCAAAGTAGCAAAATATAGTGTAATGTCTATCATGTTTAAGGTATGCAAAAACCTCTGAAATCTCTTTATTTGTATACTGTTTTGTGATCTTGGCCCATCAGCCCACCACAAACCTTTCCCTTTGCCCCCTCCAAGACCAAAACTTTGGGCACCCCTGGTATATAATGACTTCAGCTGTTAGTGATAGAACTGCATTCTTTTAAGTGCTAGTTTTTGTTGCCAAAGCAATAATGTGTGTACAAAGTGTATTTTGTGGTAGTCAAAGTAAAACAGGAAGTTGTGGCAAGAGTTCTGAACAGACCACAAACCAGTCGATATAGTTACTGAGATCAGCCTGTGTGTTTCCCTAGCGACAGGAGGGGCGGAGCGCAAGATCCCGCGCAAGCCCCTACGAACGCGGCTGGTCAGTCTACAGGAAGCTCGAGGGGAGGTCATGGACCCCTCCCCTCTGGACCTCGAATCAGAGAAACGCCGCTTCTCCGCGGCTTGAATCAAGACCAAGACTCGACTGTTGCCATGGAAACACCTCAGAGTTCCCAGAATGATGTACATTTCTTCTGCTGTGTTGTATTTGAGTTGAATTCAGTTTTATTTGTACAGCACTTTTTTGCAGCGGACGTCGTTCCAAAGCAGCTTTCCAGGAATCCGGATCCAGCCCCAAAATGAGTGTTGCCGTCGGCAACATGTTTGAAACATTGAGAGGAACTGAGACTCAGAGCTCAGGACTCAAAAGGGGAACCTGAATAGCAGAATTATGATTAAAATAGCAGACAGAGCACATACTCCATTTGTGTCCTGTTCACTTGCCTGGTTTTTATATTAAGATTGTCATTTTGAAATGGAATGGAAAAACCTTTTGCATCGGGTTGTTTACATCTGTCCAGTAACCCTGTTACTTTTGTACTAAACAGATGGAAAAATGAAAATAAACCCCTCTTCTTACTTTTTAAACAGTTTACAGTGTTTGGCTTGAGGTCTCTGCTCTGTTTTAACACTTATTATTTCATTTCTAGCTTTCGGCAGGATTACAGAAGCTGTTTAAGCTAAAGTTTTATTACAGAGATCAGTGTAAGAGTGATGTTTATCAGATTACAGTGTTGGTATCTGTGAGACAATGGAAGAAGGTAACTCATTTATATCTCAGCTTCATTTATATCTCAGCTTTTTGTGCGCCTGCTTTGCTCATCTGTGCATTAATGGCGAAATCATACCTGGTGGGAATTGAATTGAGGCTTCCTAGCAAAGTACTCAGTTTTTGTCAGGTTTTTGAGCCTGTTTTGTAGCAACTTTTTTCTTTCAGTAATTTTTCTTTTATTTTAGTTTTCGTCAAGTTTATTTTCTAAGATGCACTTAAATATTAGCTAAATTAACAAAAAACAAACCAAAAATAAAATTGAAAGGAAAAAGCTGCTTTGCTTATGTGTGCATTAATGGCAAAATCATACTTGGTGTAAACTAAATTGAATTTTTCCAATGATTTTAAATTCTGTCCGTTTATTTTTTTAGCTAAATATTTTTAAATTGCATTTTTAATAATTTTGTTTATTTTTATTTATTCTGTTACAATGCAGAAAATGCCTCTATTAACCATTTTTGCAGGCTTTTTTGATTCCTGTCGATGAGCAAGGCTTAAAGTCCTGATTAGATAACCCTGATTTTCTGTGTCCGCTCGCTCTGCTCTACAGCTCTGAGAGGCTTATAATGTCTTTGTCTTTTCTGAATCCTGTAATGGATCAGGATATAAAAGTGTGTAACAGCTGCTGCGTCTTCCCTCCATCAGGCTTCCTGCGTTTTTCATTTACAGATCAGCTTCCTCTACTGATGTATCACCTGTGCAGTTACGCCTGCAGATGCTGCTGATTTCGCTTTGCCGCCTCGTTTTTCCCTCAGTCAGTGTCCCAATCTCACTCTCTCTGTCTTTTCTGTCTCTGCAGCTCGCCAGTCCCTGACCAGACCTAAGTCCTTCGTGTCCACTCGGCTGCTGTCTCTGGAGGAGGCTCGGGCCCGCTCCCAGGCCCCTCTGCTCCTGCAGGGATCTCCTCATCCCCTCCAGGATCGGTTCCACACAGTGTTGGACCTTCCTGGTGACAGGTGGGCTTTCTGGATCACAGTAAACCATGCATGATGTATGAAGTACTGGTGGTGATTCATAACTGACAGTGTTATTAGGACTGAATTTTAACTTTAAATTTATATTTTATTTATTTATTATTTAATTTTATTTGTATATATTTATATTTGGTCCCCTGACAAGTATCTGAAGTTAACTAATCACCCAAAAAAGGCTCACTGACTCACTGGCCAACTCACTGACTGACTCACTGACTTGCTCACTCATTGACTGCCTCTCTCACTTTTGTAAATCCTGTTTTATATTCATCCAAATTTTCTGTCCGGTTAGTGCCTAAAGTTGACTAATCACCCCTAGAGGCTCACACTGACTGACTGAATGACTGACTGACATTTAGAAAGCTGATAATACTCCACAAGGAGGCACCATTAACAGTTAAATAGTTTTTAATGCATCATAGGACCAGAGCAGGGGTGATGCTACAACTCCAAAAGTGGGGGGGGGCAAAAGATGCTGTTTCAAAATAAATAAATAAATAAATAACATTTTAAAAAGCGGTTGGCTGAGTGACAAAGTGCAATTAGCCCACTGACTAAAACTGCCTTTCATGTCATGCTAAGACCATGTCCTAATAAACCTACTCAGAGGTGGGAAGTAACTAGTTACATTTACCCTAGTACATGTACTTCAGTAAAATATTGATGGACTTTTACTCTCCTGGGTATTTTTGAAATCATTTTACTTTCGCACAATCTTCAGTTCCTATGCTGATAAATGCTGGATGTAGTAGAAGTTCCACTGCTGTACTGAGTACTTAAGTAGTACTTCTTTTGTATTTCTACTCAAGTTGTTTTGGGGAAAGTACTTTTACTTGTGCAGTTATTTTATGCAAGTATTAATACTTTTACAGCTTCAGTAGCTGCAGCATCAGATAGCATTATTTGTTCGCTAACATCTGTCAAGAACATCAGGCTGTTTTCAAACACAGTTCATTGTCCAAAGACACACCACAGTTTTGTATATGTGTGATTCTGTATCTCTTTCATTTGGTTCATATGGTGGACTTCAGAGGCTAAATTGCACTAAATTACACGAGTGTTTGTTTATTGATCTGAAGTTTTGCAGGGATGCAAGCGTTCTGTTACTGTCACATTCACAACAATGAAAACAGAGAAACAGAAAATAGAGACGCTTATCGTCTGTGTGTGTACCAGTTTCAATCTAACTGATCAGGACGCTGATGCTTGGCTAAAAAGATGCTTCAGTCCATGTACCAAAATCTAACTCATATCATTGTTTCACTGCTTGTCTCTCGTTGTTTACAGCAGCTTGCAGTGCAGGAACAATGTGAACATTTGTAAAGAATGAAATGTTAAAGCAGCAGTTGTGCAGACAGTACAGAGAAAATGTGCTCTGGAAAAAAGCGTCCTCTGGTGTTGAATTCCCTCGTGAATTAGCGCAGTTCAGCTGTTTGGTTCTGCCTGAATGCGGGTGGAGTTTCATGCGTCAGGCAGGTCTAAAAGCTCCTCCCAGCTGAAATGGAGATTTTGATTAGCTCTGCCGCTTAACAGAGTTTTACTGTTTAGTCTGTTCATGCTTGTCAGTACTTCATGCAGTTTAGGGAAAGCGGAGGTTTTTATGTGCACGTCCTGATATTTATTAGTTTATAACATTTTGTATAATAGCTTTTGAGCTTTTGTTGATTTTTCTGTAAAGCTCTTTGTAAACGTGTTCTAAAAAGGTCTAGGAATAACTAAAGTTTAGTATTAGTTTTACAATGCAGTGTTAAGTTACTGTTTTGATGTCTCTGTTTCTTCACTTGTATAGGAGGAAAAGAGGCCTGAAGGTGCGGAAGGCAGCTGGAGGGAGCTGGAAGACATTTTTTGCGATTGGGAAGCCTGCAGGCTCAGGCCGCCGTAAGCCCATACGGATCAGCTCCTTATTCCAGCCTGCAACCTCTCACGCAGGTACTGAGTCCCACTATTGTTAATTTGGTAATATTGAGGGGGAGGAGACCTCATCTAAAACTGTTTACATCCATAGACCTAAGCATGCATTATTATGTGTATTGTCACTTATTTTCTATGGCTGTCTGTGTGGTTCTATTTATTTACCCATTCCTTCGCCTAGATTCACTCTCAAATCTTTCCCCATACTCAATGAGTCACATGAATACTGACTTGTTGACAGAGAATCAGTAGCATCCTAATGTCTGTTGTCATGGCTTCAGGTTGCAGGGTGGACAGTGTGACTCTGAGGTCAGCTAAGAGTGAAGAGTCTCTGTCTTCTCAGCACAGTGGAGCAGGTAGGAACAAATTACCTCAGGCACTATTAATTTAAAAGAATAATTTAACTAAAAATGATGCGAAGTAGTTATCATTAGCACCATTTAATTAATATTGAACTTGTTTTGCCCGTATGTCATCTGTTTGACATCTGCTAACACCCACTTCAGCTAATCAGCTAGTTGCGTGGAAGCAGTGTATTAGACCACAGTAGTATATTTTGTATGTTTTGGGCTCCATAATTTGGTGCCATAAAACAGAGCATTTTTATATATTTTTATTACAAGAGTGTTTAGATTAAGACTTAAGACATAAATTTTTTGACCATATTCCAGGCCATGATTAGCATATTTCTCTGGCACCAAAATGCCCACATACATGGACTTGCACACCACTATATTAGAAGGTAATGTGATGTTGTTTTTTTCTCTTTCTTTTAGGTCAGGGGAAGCTACAGCGCTTGCGAAGGCCTCGCTCCAGCAGTGATGGCCTCTCTCTGGCCGCCTCCATGGACCCTCAGCTCCTACCCCAGCCCCCTCCAGCTCAGATCCCACCCAGTCGCTCATACGACAGCCTGCTGCCTGAGGAGGCCCGAGACGCAGATGAGGAAGAGGATGAGGAAGATGATGAGGAGGGGGTATACATGCTGCCCGATTTCTCGCAGGACCCCACCGCCTCCTGGATGGCCGAGGACGTCATTGACTTTAGCCCCACCTTCCCGGATGACGGGCCAATCGGGATTGGAGGCAGTGCCGTCGCCCCTGGAGGCAGGGAGTCTCCACCCGCAGCTACGCCCCCTCCCTACCGCTGCCTGAGCCACCAGGGACATGCCCGCTCTGGAAGTCAGCGGTCAATCACGGAGGACCCAGACTCTGTGCTCAATCAGTCAGAAGTTGCAGCCCGCAGGAGTCTGATATTGGCTGCTGCTGCCCCGCCCCAGCAGGTGTTCTGCCAGCACAGGCCCTCCGCTGCCTCTAACCCTGCCACTAGCACCACCCAGCAAGGAGAGGCCAACCTAAGCCCCTCCCACAGTCAGCTTCCAGCTCCAGCAACCTCCACCCCATCCTCGCAGCCTCCACAGGAGAAGCGCTCCTTTACAAAGAAGGTGGTACATGCGCTGTCTCCTAAAGCACCAAAGTCGCCTCCTCTGGATATATCTGACCCCATCGCCATCAGCGTGCCTGCCAAGGTGAATTTCACACAGCTGGAAATAGTTGTTCTATAAGCCTGGCTGTTGAGCTGTGCTGCTCAAGGAGAGGCTTTGGGGGGTCAGTGTGTGCCACTGAGGCAGGCAGATTTCATACCTGTACAAAATCTGATTATGTTACAGTGTATACTTTTAAAGCATCCTCAGAGCACAGCCTCAGGTTTTAGACATCACACAAAACAGCTCTGGCTTTTGTTAAAAACACTGTCATGTCTCACGTACAATCAGATGAAATAGCCTTAGACAAAATAGCATCAGGCTAAGCAGCCACAGACTTTAGCCTTGGATGCTAAAGTTTGTGTGGCATTCACAATTGAGTTCGTTTTATTGTAGATTAATTAGTTTTGTGGCCAGATTAAGGATGACAGTTAACTGCAACCACAGCTTTTACTGAACTGCGCTGTTATTGTCTAAACAACCCAAAAAAGGCCCCCAAAGTCCTTTTTGTACAGTTAGTTTTGTTTGTTTTTTTGTTTGTTTTTTGTTTTAAATGACAAACATGATGCTGTGTAATAGTAAGTGCTCACAGATTTTACTTACAGTTACTTTAACCATGGTTTGACGAAATACAGTATAACTGCAGTTGAAATGCTGATGTTACAGATATTGCAAGTGGCTGAAGTCTGGTTTCCGTCTTCCACTTTAAAATAGTTCCAAACTGCACACATTAAAATGAGAGAATCATGTCCATTTGTCATATTTACAACAGTAGGATAAATAAAGCTCAGTAGGGCAAAACAGAATTGGAATTGGATGAAGCTTGAAGATTGATCCATTAATCTGTTCCAAATGTGATTTTTTTCACAGTGGATTGTGAGATCAGTACTTCCTCTATCATTTTCTCATAGTGATGCACATGCTTATGCATAGTCACAGAAATTACTCATAACCTTTCAGGTGCTGGAAATGATTGGCGGGCGAGCTGGCGAATTGCAGCCTGGGACTCCAGGTGGCGGACCTTCCCAGCCACCTCAAATGATATCCATGCTGCTGAGATCATGTGACTTCCAACTCACAGAGAGTTGCCAACAGGAGCTAAGCAGCAAGCTGGGCCACGAGGCCAAGATCAAGGGCCCCAGTGAGTACAGTGTCATGCTGTTATTATGTTCCATCATCAGATCCTATTAATATTAGTATAGAATGGTATAGAACAGTGTTCACCATCCCACTTTTCAGGGCCGCCTAGATGGTCCGTATTTTTTCCTCATCCTTATGTGTTGAGTTTTTGCCACTCTCTTTTCTCCCAGGCATTATTGGTCCCACTGGTGCCCCCCTGCCCTCGCAGCAGCCTCCTCCCCCTCCTCCGAAAAACCCAGCGCGTCTCATGGCCTTGGCCCTGACGGAGAGTGCCAACAAAGCTCTCCGGCAGGGTGCTTCTCCTCCCTACCGGCCCCGCCAGACCCCTCCGGAGACCGACACCCGCTTCCAGCGGTCCCTCTCCGCAGACGCAGGGGCACTGCTATCCTCGGACCCTGACCAGCTATACTCCACGGTGCGCCCCCTGTCTGTGTGGATGACTGAGGGTGAGGGTGAAGATGGTCCTGCTGAGAAGGCTCCAGACAGATCACATGAGGAGGAGCCAAGGTCACCCCCAGCCCAGGTCTGTTTGTGTTTGCACATACATACAAAATACTGGGAAGTTGCTGTGAGTAAAGGTCTTATCAAACTGTAAAATAGAATCTGTTTAATTGGAATGTAATTGGATTTGTTTGTGCCCCACTTAAAGCCACAGTTTTAAATAACTTAAAATTTAAAACTTAAAATAACTTAAAATAAAAACTTTGGATATTAACCAAGTAGTACCTAGGGGTGGACAAGGTGCAAACTTCTGTGCTTGAAATTAGCTGTTAATGTGCTGTTAACTGAACTTACAATCATCACAATAAAATTTGTACTTTTACCCAAATGTACATATATATATAATACTTTTAGTAATTGTATATTTTGTAATATTTTATATATTTACTCATGTAATATTTTTATACAATATTTTGGTGTATTCTTTTGCTGTCAAACAATTAAATGCGTATCTAATATCAAACAAGTTATGAGATGTTTAAATCAGGTTTTCGTTCTAACCATAGTACTGAGACAGCATTGATTTGTGCTGTCAATGACCTGATGCACAAAATCCTTCTATTTTGGTCTTACTGGATCTTAGTGTTGATCACAAGATTCTAGTCCACAGCTTGAAAATCGCGTAGGCCTCTCAGTTTAGAATGGTATATATAATATTTAGATAATAGACAGTTCATGGCTTCACCGGGGAATCATTCATCAATCATTTTTTGTGGAGTCCCACAAAGTCCGGTTTTGGGGTTTTTGCTTTTCTCTTTGTACATGTTACCTCTGGTGATGCCATTAGGAAACATGAATTTTTCATAGCTATGTTGATGAAACACAATTATACATTTCCATTCCTTCTGTTAATCAAGACTCTGTAACCAGGCTCACCAGCTGTGAGATATTTCTCAGTGGATGTCATAAAATTTTGTACAACTAGATTATGAAAAACTGAACTACTGTTCATTGGTACTAAAACTCAGATGAAGCTGCTTTCTGAGAAACATCATTCTTTAGCTTCATAAACCAAACCAGATGTATGAAATCCATGTGTAATCTTAGATTCTGAGCTCTGTTTTATCTTACGTGTAAACACAGTCACTAAAGTAGCTTTTTATATATATTTTATACATTTTTCATACATTTGTTACAAACAGAGTGACTAGATTTAGCACAAGTGACTAAATTAAAACTCTACACCTCTTGGTGTTTATCATTTTACATTTTATCTGTGTCATTTTCTTACATGATTCTTTTCTTACATAATTTCTTGTATTAATGTTAAGCTTTATCACCTGTCTGTAAAGCAGTTTGAGCTGCCACTAGCATGAAAGGTGCTATATTAATAAAGATTATTATTATTATTATTATTATTATTATGATTATTATTTTACTCAATTACAGAAGTTTTGTCCTGTTTTCTCTTAACAGGACCTGGTAAGGACCTATATCATTTTGTTTCTTGGTTCTAGCAGTTTGGAGATTTTCAGAGGTTGACATGTATCCAGTCTCTTTAGTCAGTGTTATGAAACAAATTAATACTGTTTTTCTGTTGAGGATTCACTGAGTGTGACTTCTGAATGCAGCAGAACTTCTCAGTTTTACAAAATGGTGTTGTTTCTCTAACTAACAGGACACAGGAACTCTCTCCTCTGATGCCTCAGTTTCTGATTCTGGAGCATCCAACTCTGAGCTGTCTGCAGGCAGCTCTTCTGGGGACAATGAGAAAACCCCGAGCCCCATCTATAAGAATCAGCAGCAGCTTCCTCAACCACCAACAGAGCCTTCTAAATCAAGCCCCCCCTCTGCCAGTGAGGCTCCCCCACAGAGGAAACCCCCAGCCTACGGCCGCCAGTTCTCCGCTCCACACCTCCAGCAACAGAAGTCCAGTACTCAGTCCATGTCCCCTGCCCAATCCCACTCCCAGCTCCTGCACTCCAAATCAGAGAGCTCGCCCTTGGCACAGGTACATGCCTTCCAGCCCACACGGCCCAAAGTACCCCCTAAACCATTGGATCTTGCCCCACAAAGAGCTCCGCTTTCCAAGACCGACCGGCAGGACTTTACACGCCGCTCCCTGGATGCTGGACGCATCCGCCGCATGGTGGGTCCAGCTCAGGGCAACCCACCACTTTCCAGAGCCTTTTCAGAGCGCATTAGTAGTACATCAGATGCACTGTCTCGCTACCATGCAGCAAGAATGGCCAGCCAGGCGGCCCAGGCTGCGCAGGCTGTACAACCTCCCACACAGCAGCAAGGCCAGTTACCTCTTGTCCGACCAGCATTCTCATCTTCTGAAGACCCATCCAAAATGGAGAACTTCTACTATGAGATTGGTGCCCCTGAGCATCCTCAGGGCCCACCTAGCTACTCCCAGCACAGCTACCAGAACATGAGGCTGGATCTAGAGGGTAACTACCGTCTTTCAGACCCGGCCAACCAGAGACCCCTGTCCAGGAGTCACCCTCCACCCCAGTACTCACAGGTGCCTGCATCCACCAGGACTCCTCAGCTTTGGTCCTCTGAGGCCACCCGTGCCTGGGCTGCAGCCCACTCACACTCCTTCTCCTTTTCTCACTCCCATTCTCATCGTCATCCCCAAGACCATCCGCCAGGTCATCGCCACCCTCGGCTCCAGCGCCAAACATCCTCCTCTGTCAAGCTGGTTCGTAGTGAAATGCACCCCATCCCCGCCTCTGCTGGCTTACCATCCTCCGGTGGTCTGGTTCCCCTGTCCGTGCATCAACGCAACCTGCACTGTCCACAGCGTTCACCCTCATCCGACCTCACTGCCTCCCAGCTGCACCCGTACTTTGAAAACGGTAAAGTGTGCTATCGGTACTTTGAGTCCTCCAGGCCAGAGGAGGCACTGCTGAGCTACCATCAGCCTGCCGCGTCAAAGTCGCCCCAGGCTCAGTCATCCCAGGCTTCCCCACTACAAGCACATAAACCTCCCTCAAAAGAGCAGTCAGAGCCCATCTATGTGAACTACCCTTTCACCAGCCCTCCAGGAGCTGGAGTGAATGCTAAGACCTGGGCCACCACTGATCTTGATGGAGATGCACATCAAGAGGCTGAACCTCTTGCCCCCCCTCCTGAGCCACCGCCAGAGGATGAGCAGCAGCCCTCACACCAGACTACAGAGCTGGAGAGTCCCACAACTAGCTTTGAAAGCCCTGCACAAAATGATGCTGCCTCAGATTCAAGAGCACTGGAGATGCCCACCGAGATCAGCATGGCGCACTTCCGCAGCCGCTCGGACCCTCAGACATCCAGTTCGGAGCCTAGACAGGCTTTGACAGGAAAGGACATTGCCTCCTTGTTGATTGAGAAGCTGGCAGAGGATGAAAGAGAGGGCCCAAGCCTGGCCACATCATCCTCTGCATCTTCCTCACCCCACATCGAGTACCCCCCTAACCCTTACCCCAGTCAGCAGCAGCAGCAGCGCCTTCCACCTGCCTACAATGTGTACACTCCTGGACCATCTCGGAGTCATTTTGAGGGCACAGCACGGGAAGCCTCAGGTGCTTTCCAACGGCAGGACCCCTTGCGCCGATCTTCCGGCAGCCAGTACCGGCAAGTCTTTGATGTCATGCCGTCTGGTGACCAAGTCCTTAAGTTCTACAGAAGTCAAGACTTTATCCCAGCCCCCCAGGGAGACAGCACAACCCCTAACCCTTACCCCCCAAGACCTCATTACCAGGACCCTCCGTACCCTAGTCGAAGCCCCCAGGCTCACCCAGGCACACCACACACCTCTACTTCTCCCTCGGCAGCCTTCTCAAACTTGGCACTAAGCACACCAAGAGGATACGGGCCCCAAATGGCTGTCAATCCATATAACCAGTACCCCTACCAGGCAGGTCCGGTGCTTCCCCACTACCCCAGTGCCCCACAAAGGGACATGATCTTGGATCCCGCTCTTCGACCTGCAGCGCTCCGCGGCCAGCGGGGCATAAACCGGCAGGGCAGTCTGCCCGGTCCCAACTGGACCATCCACACAGAGGGCCAGACCCGCAGCTACTGCTGAAGCACAACTGACCACCTTGTTAAGACTGAGTGTGAGATCTGATGAATGTCCTAATATAACCCCACTGCTGTACCAGTGAGAGAAACTGGGAGAGACAGACAGACAGAAACAAGATGGAGGTGCAAGAAGGGAAAGTTAAAGAATCAAAGAAGTGAACCGTAAAGTGGCTTAGATATGTAAACATTCCAGTAGACACTGTGCTGTCCAGCAGAGGGCATAAGAGAATTGTATGGCTGCTGTCCCTCTGAAGGGAGTATCAGGTATTCGCATAGTGGTGGTGTTTTTCTGCTTTAGGTACTTTCTGGGTTTAAGTTACTTTATTACAAGCACACTAGATAACAGGACAGAGAGAGCTGTACTTGGAAATAAGCTTAGTTGATTTTTTCCCTTTTCCTTTCTTTTGGGGAGGGTCTGGGTAAAGTCTGACTATAACCTTGTGCTGCTGGTGGTTTTTAAAGAAGCGATCTGTTCTATTTTGTCTCAACGTTTCTGCTGTTTGTAGCAGCCAGACATTTTTGTTTTTATTGCTTTTTCATTTTTTTAAGTTAACTTAAGTTTTCACTGCAAAGAAAGCATGTAAAATAGTTTTTTTTGTTTTGTTTTGTTTCAGGTATTGTGAAGAATAGGACTGTAATTTTAGTTTTTATTCACTGGTGTGTATGAGAGAGTGAGTGAAAGAGAATGCCTTTTCATTTTTGTATGAGTGCTTCTGTCTCATTAGTCTATACTCCTGTTCAAAAGTACACAAAAAGAAAGAGAAGGAAAACACTGCCATTAGTGTGTATGTGTGCGTCTGTCCATATTTATGCAAGGTACAGCACTGTATGTTTGGTTCTAAGTAGAGCATGTGGGGATCTCAATAGCTAAACTATGCCCGTAATTGTTGTGCTGATTCTTAAACGTTGCATCAGTCAGTTGAAAACTATGGATATAGAATAGGAAAATAATACGGACATAGGTTAGGATTTTTTGCTTTGACCAGTGCCCTTTATGTGCGGCATTGGACACCTGTAGAACCTGTCATTTTTCAGAGTCTGAAGAATTGTTGACAATGTGAATCCAATCTAATCCCTTTAGGTAAGGCAAAGCTCTGTCTGCGTTCACAAGTCCCACATAACAGTCACCACTACAGCACAGTGTACACTACATCAGAGGTGGCCAACTCCTGGTTCCTGGAGAGCAAACTTTTTGGTCCTTTAATTTAGCTCCAAAACTAAAACATCTGAGATCAAACCGCTCTGAATCTTCGGTGTCTATAGTGGAGCCATGTCTGGTGGATTAGGGTTGGAAATAAGCTCTGATGAAGGGTAGATCTCCATGGGCAGGAATTTTGAAGGGAATCTTGGGTTCCACGAATAAGGGTTGCACAATATGTTAATCTATTAATTGTCACAATACTGGCCTTTGCAATACTTGCATTACAAACCACTAAACAATCACTAAATGCTTTATGTGCTGTAAGCACCCTAACCCTCACAGATGGTACAGATGAGTCTTCAATCAAGGTATTCAGATGATCCATCAAATTTGTGGTTAAAATAATGGAGGCCTGTTTTTATCCAAACCATGATGTAATTGTGATATTGAATTTAGCCTATATTTTGCATGCCTAGTCATTACATGTCATAGGTCAATGCAATGAAAATGAAAACATTTCGTTTGGAGAAGTGAAGCCCCTGGGGATTTACATTTAAGAGTTTATTGCCAAGCCTAAACATTCGTCATGCTGCACCTTCAGATGTTGCTGAAGACTTTATTTCAATGGATTGGGTGCATTAGATTTGGGTAGTGCTTAAATTCTATCAAAAGCCGGATCTCCTGGTTGCGCATCCCTTAAGGTGTAACAGGGTTGACACCTGTAGGAATATTCATAGTAACTGATGCCTTTGCTTGAGCACTTGTTCAGTAACATGTTGAGGCATGAACATTACCTCATGAGTCAGTGTTAGTACAGATACTGAGCCTTTCATTGCTTTACTCTCATAGCATGCCCTGTCCTTAAAGGAATACTCCAATGCTTCTTAATCTAATTTCCGTCCTCCACGTCTGTAGCGCACAGTCAATTACTACGTAAAAAAACAACCCGTTGGCTTAAAGCACAGTTGAATTTAGAATCTTTCTGTGCTTGGTGTCATGCCCATATTAGGGACTCCAGGTCTAAGCTGGTTTTCTCTATGACAAAAACAAATGACGTTGTAGAAATTCACTGCTATCGTTCCTGTTGTAAACTAAAATGTTTCAGAGCCGATATATTTTACTGTACATGTTTTTTTTCCGCCAAGCTAGAAGGTCCCTCTGAATTCGGAGTCATTAAGGAGCCGAAATACGGCTATTGCTACCTGCTAACACTGCTGAGTGCTGAATTGACATCTGAATACTGGCAGTGTTGCCAAAATACCTCACACAAACCAGTAAGCTTTGGAAAAAAGTGCTGGTTTAGTTGCTTTGACAGACATAGGCAACAGTTTGAGTAGGCAATGTTAATGTGTGACAGTGTTAAAGTTTAATGGTAGACTTTCTTTCATGTAACGTTTTTTCAGTGCGCAGTGTTCGGTTGCTTGTAGCGTTATTCCTATTTTGACTACTAAATGACCCCGTAATTTAGACGATCTAGTGACACTAAGAAGGGAAAACAAAAACATCATTGGTGGAACATTTTTGTTTATTACGAGGTGTAACATTTTGAAAATGCTATTTATCTTTCTCACAGAGAAAACTTCCTTCGACTCCATTCCTTATATGGGCATGACACCAACTACAGAAAGGCCTGTTATAAGTGAGTTTCGAGGTATCCTTTTTTTTAAGCACAAGGAAATGTGTTAAAATGATTGCGGTAATCAAAGGGGCATTACAGATGTGGCAGATGGAGATTGGGTTGAAAAATGCTGGTGTCTTTCTCTAAGCAGTTGGCTCTGCTTTCCACTGCACATTTTTTCATCTGCTTTTCAATAGTAAGCTACTTTTGCTGACAAGTTTTGAAGGTACAAGGTTTAGCATGAGGTGTGTGTGTGTGTGTTTTTATGTGTGTGTGTGTGTGTGTGTGTATGAGAGAGTGAATGTATCTGTGTGTGTATGTCAGAGCTTTGTCTTTTTTATCCATAACTATGCAGTGAATAAGTACAAGGGAAGAATTTCCTACAACATGGTAACACTCCTCCAAATGGTAATACTACCTATGTATTTCAACAGACTGTGTGGGTGCGTCTGGGTTTGTGTGCTTTAAACCTAATCTTCCTGTCCAATGGTCACTCTTTCTGCCTTGTAGCACTTTGCAAAAGGCAATTCATCATATTTTGTAATATTTACCAATGTGTGAATTAAAAACTTGATGGTTGCATCAGTCATAAATATTGTTGGTTGTATTTTTTTGAGTCACAGAAAGGTCGAAAACAATGGGACAGTTTTAGTTCCTCAGCTTAGAAACGCAACATATATTCTTCCCACGTATAGTGTACAGAACCGCTTAGTGTAGATGTTACCATGACAACGAGCATCACGGGAGGCCGGTCAGAGTGAAACGATCAGCAGTGAGCAGCGCTTGTGTTTGTAATGGCTTTAAAATGATATCAGAAGGCCGAGAGGAAGACGTCGTGCTCTGAGACACATAAGCTGGATGTTCTGAAAACATCTGACACCACACTTTCATTTGTTTAATGTCCAGCCAAAATGGCCTTTGAGTATAAGATTATCCTGTGTCAGAAAAAAGATACATTTGACAAAATTACACAGGAGCCTCGACAACTAAACATATCAAACCTTGCAGTATTACTGTGTCGACTCTTTACTTTTAATACAGCTTCCATTCTTTTCATGAGACGTGCTTTCAGTTTTTCAAAGAAATCTGCAGGGATATTTTCCACACCTCCAAAGTTCCGTCTGAGAAGTTGGTTGCATTTTCTGCTTTTTACACTCCCAAGTAATCCCAATTACAAATTTACTGCTTTGAATGTATTCATGGTGGGTGGTACAGAGACAGATTGTTGTAGAAGTCCCCAAAGACAGCTTTATTTTTTCAGATTTATCACTGTTTTACCCTCATTATCATATAAAAACTTGTAGGATCACTGATGAATTTTGGATACTAAATAAAAAGGTTGTATTTGATTATTATTTATTAAAGAAATCTGAGTCATTACAGTTCTCTACAATTAACCATCTCAAAATAGGGGTGTTCAAACTTTTTGATGCTACTGTATAAGTTACTGTACCAAAATGAAGCTGTATTTATTCATTTGCCACATTATGTCCAGTGCAAACTTAACAAATTGTTAATTTGATTGTTGGGTGATTCATCTGTGTATAAGGCTTGGGCGACCGAATTCACTTTAACTGCAAAACAGATTTAGTTACGAAATACTGACCCTATCCTTTTTCTTCCTGCTGTGCCATCAGCTTCTCATATTTAAGCTCTGTTTTCACGCTGCTTTTGTGTCGCATATTGATTGACGATCCGAGGCAGTTGTTATTCTACTATGCTGTTTTTAACACTTGGTGTATGTCTCTGAGCGCAGTGTACTGCGGAGATGTCAGCTGTAATGTGAGAAGATGGAATTTTCATTGAGCTCCCTCTCTCTCCTGGAAGAAAATCCTGTAAAACGAGTCTGCTGCTCCGTCACAGCATCCACTCCCAGAAACGCAGAGGCATGGCTCAAATTCAACACCTCCCTTCTGGAATCGGGCACATCATTTGTGCTGTAGCGGTTTAGCAGGGTGTAACTGCATTGGGTGTGCTGCTTTGTTACGGAGTAGAGCTTTGCCTGCACACAAATGTGGAATGAATACGAAAAACACTAAATGGCACTTCAATAAGGTGGTTTATTATTTGCTAGTACAAATACATGAATATAATGGATAAAAATGTACATTTGGCTATACATATCTCTGATGTTGAAAAGCAAACGTGACCACAAGATGGAACAAAAAAAGCCCAACTCAGGTCTGTCTACAAAATAACATGAGTAAATGTGTGATTGGCACTGTAGAATGAAATCATCTGACAAAAATCCTGAAATGTGCAATTACATTGAACATTTTTTAAGAAAAAAAAACCTCAAATTAAATCCAAAAAGAAAACAAGTGGACAGTGACAGGGGTCAAAGAAAATACATGCCATTCATCAAAACTAAACATTCAAAGCAATCACAAGCGCTCAAACCTAAAAATCTGTTTAGTACCTTTAAACACTTTGCAGTCTGTTTTGAAAGAGGATTTTTGTGGCAGCATTGATGACGGTGTAGAGGCAACAGGCAGAAGCAGTGGTTATTCCAAAAGCAACAATACTAGATATAATGCTGTTTCTTAGTGTAGCGCTTTTTGTGTTCCTTTAATCTCTTTAGCCCAGCTGCGTGTAGTACACCATGGCGATCAGCAGCAGGAAGAACTGGAGGACACACGTTAGAGACATCAGGTTTCATCAGAATACATGTTTTTAATGCATGCATGTATTAAAACGCTCTGTCAATAATCTTTCAATGTACTTTCAAATGACAGGCTGGCAAAAAATGACCTCTTATGTGGAGTTAAATCAGTGTCACCTGAACCTGAATTCATGATTCTGAACCTGAATTCATGATTCTGAATCTGAATTTGTAATGCTAACCCTGAATTCGTGATTCTGAACCTGAATTCCTGATGCTTTTTTAGGTTGAGAAATTCAGCTGATTAAATTAAAAATTCTAAAATTCAGGTAGTAAAATTCAGGGGAAATATCCGGGGTACTCGGGAAGAGCAAACAAGCAAAGATATAATCAAACTTCTGGTTCAGATTCTGGTGGCACTAATTTAACCCCATACTCTTACCCCAAATGTACTCTTTGCATTGGAGCTACAAGGCAACAAGTGCAAACTGCTTCTCTAAATCATCACTCACTGGCTTCTGCTTTGAGTAATCTCAAATAGACCTGCTGACACTGTACGACTTACGGTTATTTCTAAAAATGTACAAAGCTACAGACGAGCGCAAACATTTGGGCATCCTGGTCAAATTACATGTGATGTTGATTTTCTAATGGATTTTATGGACATTTTGTTTTTTTTTCCTCCTGTATGTTAAACAGAAACTGTGCACTAAAATATGGAAAAAAGTCAAATTTAAGTTAGATGACTGCTGTGTCTCAATTCAGGGGCTGCATCCTTCCGAGGCTGCATTTAAAGGCCGACTGCGTCACAGCGGCGTGACTAGGCTGTACCATTTTGAAACCTCCTTCATATGTGGCTGAGAAATGTATCCTTCTTTTCCATGGCAACAAAGTCTCCAATGGATGGAATAATATCCATGTAAACGTCTGTATCCGATTACATTCCCAGTCAGAAACTTTAAGTAACGTTCAACCTGGCAGGAGCAGAAACTGGTCTGCAGAGGAGACGAAGTTTATGCTCTGATCTTTAAAAGACGGCGGTGGGACGGACGTCCAGCTTATGTGTCTCAGAACACGACGTCTTCCTCTCGGCCTTCTGATATCATTTTAAAGCCATTACAAACACAAGCGCTGCTCACTGCTGATCGTTTCACTCTGACCGGCCTCCCGTGATGCTCGTTGTCATGGTAACGTCTACACTAAGTGGTTCTGTACACATGCGTGTAATTTTGGATCTGATTACTTGTAGTGAGCATGTAAACAGAGATTTTCATCAGGCTGTTGAGTAGAGTGAGAATTTAAACACCTCAGTCTGAATCTATAATCTGAATGTATTCAATGCGATCGGCAAAAATCGTTGCATGTAAACACAGCCACTGTTTAAATGTGTCAGTTCAGCAATTGCTGACTGGAACACTAAATATTCCAAAATGGATTGGCGTCAGTGTCCTTTTTAAATCAGCATGACCTCAAGATCAGTTTCAGGACTGTTGCTGCCTTGTAGCACTACTCGTAGCTGATGCAAAAGGGAATGTACTGTAAGTGATAAAGAATTTTAAAATACTCACCACGAACATCTGCACAGAGAAGCCGTACCAGCTCACCGCCCAAGTATAACGGCTGAACACTGACTCAATGTGGTTAAAGCATCCCTGCAGGAATAGAAGCATTTTTTCACTTAAAGGGCCCATACTCTAATTCTGCATTTTGCTTTCACTGTATTTTGTCTCCCTTGAAGTCCACTTACAATGTTTGAGTGGTTTTATGTGTCAACAATTGTCACTGTCCATTTTCAAATCTCTTTATCCCTTACAATTACACTGTTTTTGCTACAGTGCATTTAAGGCTGATATATGTAAATGACCCCTGTTCCGATTTGGCTTGTTCAAAAAGTAGTCTGGGCTAAAATGTGGAAACTGTAGCTTATGAATTCTGACTGAAATTATCAGAGATGCTGTAAAAAACTTTTAAAAAAAATCGAATGTGTGGATCATTTGGAATAACAAAAGCAATGGACTGCAGACTGCAGGTCCACGACCACGTTTCAAGCTTCAGTCTTCGTGGTCCAAAACACTACAAACTTCAGCACACTGCCTCATTAAACACACCTGATTCAGCTCATCAGCTGATTAACAAGGCCTTCATAAACTGAATTCAGAACGTTAGATGAGAGTAAACAATAATCTCTGCAGCACAAAACGTCCCTAGTTTGACATGCCCGCATTAGACCCAGTGACAGTAAACATTTCATAGTTGTGACATCACAACCATGATGAATTCAAAACAGCTTAGTTTCCATACATAGACTGTGGTGTACAATTGTTCAATTAAAGGGGAATTCCACTGATATAATAATAATAATTCAGTGGTTAAGAAAGCAAAGTCATTCAGTGATTTGATGTGAAATGCTTCGTTCAAGAAAAACTCACTAAGCCAAAATTGTTCACAGTGGTGGTGATAGGAACCAGATGTGCGAAGAGTTTAATGCTTCTAAAATGTCCCTCACAAAAATAAAGAAAACATTGTTTTGTGGTATTTTGAGAAGATTTTGGCCTAAAACATAAGTCCATTCATGACACAGAGCTACATGCAGGGTGTTGTAAGGCAAAATAGTCCCCAAAAAAGTACCACTGTTTTACTATTATCAACCTACAGTGCACAGTTTCACATCAAAACACTTTATTTCACATCAAATTACTTTATTTACATCTGAATGGTTTAATTATGCAGTTGAAAAGTCAGTGAAATTCCAGTTTCAATATCATGGTCAGGCATCTGTAAATGGCCTTATGACCACTGATGACGAAAGAGTTAAGCCTGTTACGAAACAAGCAACAAAGGTTTCTGAGGGCAGCAATATGTTGCCCGCTGTCTCCACTGTCTGAAGGTGAAGCTGTTTCCATTGTAAATAAAGAGATGCTGGCAGATGTAGAACAATTGCTGATTGGCCTGAACCTTCTAGAGAGGGGCTCTGTTTACCTTGTTAAACATGGTGCTGCTCTGGCCGATCTTGCAGCCCTCTGGATCCGCCACCTCGAAGCTGCTCAGGCGCTTGCAGCAGTTGAGCGGCCACGGGTACGTAGTGCCGTAAGTCTGTCTGAAGGTGGAGTTATACTCAATCCAGTCCAAAGGACTGTCCGTCCCACAGCACTGCACCTGCAGACACAAGAGAAGGAGCGAAATTAAAACTCTCCAATGAGGGCATGTCAAGTTGACATGATGAAAGTGGGACAGCACTTTTGGAATAAAGTTTTTTTTTTTTTATTTAAATACTAAACTCTTGATAAATCTAAATCTTTCAGATTCACTTTAAAAGAAATTGAAAAGACCCTTTTAAAAACAACACTGAAATTTTGAGGTTAGGGTTTGGGACAGCCACTTTCCAATAGAACATACTCTACAAATGATGAATTTGAATACATTTAGCTTATTACTCTCTTATATAATGCTTGTGTTTTGTTTTTTTTGTTTTTTTGTACTGTGGGACTGCAGTCTGAACTAATTTAGTGGATAAACAGACGTATATACAGAGCGCTGCTGTACTAGAGCATTTGAAGGTTGATGTTATGTAATATTCCAAGTTGTCCAGCACTGCATCCCTCAGCCTCGTGACTTTGACTCTCCTTTCTTTGTTTTCATCCATTACTGTTCTCTTACGGTAATGAAAGTCAGAATCCTAACTGTTCATAATAATAGCTAGCTTTCTTCTGCATTAGCCAGCCAAATCAAACAGCCCATCCTCAAGTACCTCTCCAAAAACAGTTGCAGTATGTTCTTTCCACCTTGGAGGTACATCATCAGAAGGTGGTTTTCCTAATCTTTAAACCCTTAAATCTTACTCTAGAGCCCATGTGTCAAACACAAGGCCCACTTGGCACAGTTCTATTCGGCCCGCAAAATTATTTTCAATTAATATTAGTGCATTTCACCATGAGCTGCACTACAATCCCCAGCATGCACTGCAACATAATGTGCATCTATGGGACAGCACCAGAAAAAGAAAAGATACCAGGTGTTCAGTTCAAGCAAACAAACCTACTTTACACCGGGGACAGTTAAAGAGGTTTAAAGTTATCTGTAGCAATGTAGCCTATTGTTTTATATAAAGTACGTTGTTTTATATAAGACAATTTGTTTTTATTTCAAATGATTTTTGAATAGGTCAAGTATTCAGTGCCTTTTTTTGCTCTTGCAGTTTCGGCATATTTTGAATAAAAATGGCCAGTTCGGGTCAAGAAATAAAAACACAGCTGGCCCACGGATTTGTTGAGATTTTTTAATATGGCCACTGCTCAAGAGACTATAGTGACATCGCTGTAAGAGGTGATTTGGCAAGTTTACCACAGATGTAGCAATGGTAAAAGTTTTTTTGGACAGAGTGTCCCTTTAACTGCTGTACAACGCTGTTTTCCTGCAGTAGCAGTTTTAATGGAAGTACTAAAGTCCATTATTCCATAATTAGTCCATAATTAGTCAATAATAATTTTGCGGGCCGAATAGAACTGTGCCAAGTGGGCCTTGTGTTTGACACATGGGCTTTAGAGTGAGATTTAATGGCTTAAAGATTAGGAAAACCACCTTCTGATGATGGACCTCTAAAGTGGAAAGAACATATTACAACTGTTTTTGGAGAGGTTCTTGAGGATGGGCTGTTTGATTTTTCCATTGGCTGGCTAATAATGCAGTCCATTATTGAGCAGGGATATATCTTGGGAGAACAAACAGTCACCATGTCTTTTAGTTTTGTTTTAGATTGATTTGAGTGGATCCTCCTTTTGCCTTGACTGCTTTACAGATAATTACCTGTTGCCCATCATCCAGTACAATGAGGACGATGAATATCTTCTTAAAGACAATGAAAAACAAGATGACACTAAATACATCTCTACTTTAAATACAATGTAGCACATTCTGCTGTGCTGGTGACTAAATTCCATGTCTATGGTTACAGTAACCATCTGCTAGAGTAGGGGTGTCAAACTCAACCACTAAAAGGGCCATATTAAAAACAATCTCAACAAATCTGTGGGCCAGACAGCATCTACGTTTTATCTCATCATAAACCAAACTGACTATTATTTATGCAAAATACGCAAAAACTTAAACAGTAAAATTTAGACACTTGCAGTAGACCTTGAAATATTACATGTGTACTTGAAATATTAAAAATTGACATGTGTCCAGGAGCTCAGTCTTTTAAACCCACCTATTTGCTTCGACTAGACACCTAGAGGTGTAACCACTGTCCCATAGTTTGTTGTTGGGGGAGGAGAGTCAGAGCGCACGTTATGTTGCAGTGCATGCTGGGGACTGTAGTGCAGTGCATTGTGAAACGAGCTAATAATAATAGAAAATAAAAATACTTTTGCGGGCCGGATAAGATTGTGTCGCGGGCCTGGTTTGGCCCGCAGGCCTTGTGTATGACACATGGGTGCTAGAGTGTCAACCACATATTTACAATAAACAATTAACTCAGCAAAACATCTTCTTTTAGCGAGCCTTAACAAGTGTGAATACTGATTGATGGCAGACTTTACTCATGTAACTTCAGACTATGAAACATTCCTGTGTTTTTAATTTTATTTTATTTACCTCACAGATGCACAGAAGAAGTGTCACTAACTGGCTGCCTGATGAATCAATACAAAAAATAATTAACATTAAAATAAGAAAAAAAGTGATTATTTTTAATTAAATACCAGCCAGGCATTTAAGAAAAGCCCATGCCCCACTTTTTATAACAAAAGCAGTGAGGAAAATTGGAAATAGATAAATGGGTAATTATGTATTCAAGAAGAAAAGGAAAATTTGGAAAATAAAATAGGCACTAAGTGATATATGAAGAAATAATATTCTGTTATTCATTTATTTTACCAACTGTTTTACTTTTTATATAATAATAATTATAAATAATAATTCATTTTTAAACTCAGTTATATTTCTGATCTCTATTTCTTCTAAATCTCTTATTTTGAAATAAAAATCACACTGATGACATCACTTGCTTCCTTTTACCTAAGACAACTCCACTGTGTCTTTTAGTTATCAGAAATTTTCTCATTTAGCTCATGATTTCACATGATGCTTTTAGTTGAAGTCACTACTTTATTCTTAGGTAATTATGAAAAAATAGAACACAAATGGATTAAATTACATATTTTAGTGGACATTCCATGACTGACAACATGTGGTTTGATGCTCTGTAGCAGCCATTTTGTAAAATGCATTTTTCATTAAAAATGTCACTGTGTTTCTGTCTCTGGTGTTCCCTTTCTTATGTGTAACGCCAATGACGATCAGTAACACCAGTGACTCCCATGGATAGATAAAAAAAAGTGTTTCTGTAGAACAACCCAGGTAATAAAATAATAGTTTATACATTCAAAATAATGCATTATATTGGCCTTGTGAATGGACATCATGTTGTGCTGCATTATGGGATCATTCTGCCATATTGGCAGGGAGAGGTTGCTCTTCGTTTACATGCTGCGTATCTTTACATACACTGCAAGAGCTGAAAGAGCTTGCGGTTTTATTGCATTTTTCAGACCTGTCACGCTTCATATTGTATCAAATAAAAAGGATGTTTACCTTAACCAACTTCAGACGAATGTCATACAACTATATAATGATGAATTTAGCCGTACCGTTGGTCTGGATCCACGTAAACTCTGAACGTGCTAATGTTACCTGCTCTTTCATTTACAGACTTTTCCCTAGCTGTTGTGTGGCTTAAGTGCCTGTTCTTTTGAGTAATTCAGGATTTTCAAGTGTCTTTAAGCCCATGTACGCTTTACAAATGGTCATTTTGCTCGGCCACTGGCATACTTAACCAGAGAGGATTCATACAATCTTTCATTTAACTTTAGCTGGCCTGTGGGGTCGGCGTAGAAGAAGACACTGCAAACATTGTACATACGGGCAAATGCTCTTTTATTGAACAAGCACTAACAGGGAGCACAAAATACCTTGTCCAGCAGGGAAGGTCACCAATAGCCATACAATTTCACATCACAGACACTAAACCCACACTAACTAACCTACAGCCCAACACACTAGACACAGTCTATACATAAACACATCTTAAACTAACAACAGCAACGTTGGCAGCAAAGCAATCACAGAGCCTGTGGTAAAGGCCATAAAGCCTTTTAGCAAACACTGCTTGCCTTGAGTTAGTAAACGACACTGTAACTGTACTGTGCAATATTAACCTCCACAAAATCCACAATAAATCACACATTGTTTAACGTTACATGGAAGTAGCAGTCAATCTAAAGTCTTTCAGAGAAACATAAATAAGTGCCAATCAACCAAAAGCACAACACGCACTAACACGCCACCACCACATCAGTGTCACTGCAGTGCTGAGAATGATCCACCACCCAGATAGTACTGGATCTGCAGTGGTCCTGAACATTGAAGAACAGCGTGAAAGGAGGCTAATAAAGTATGCAGAGAAACAGATGGTCTGTAATTGTAGAACTACAAAGTGCACCTTTATGATAAGTGGAGTTGATAAAATAGACAATGAGCTTGAAAGGTGCTTTTAATGTTATGGCTGGTCAGTACACATCTGACACATAGCCATTTGTGTTCAGTTATAAGCTGCATGACTCCCTATCTAACACTTACTGCACTGTTTGAATGCAGAAGCCAATGCTTTGTGAACGATGCGGTACACTATCAAGGGAGTAGGGAGCCATTTGAGATTCAGCCCATGAACCTACTAGAATGTGCGTCTCTGTGGTCTTACCACATTCTGTCAGTGATTTTCCATTACTTAGAGTCTTAGAGAAACATTAAGGTTGTGTTATGGCTCACTGCCGTTGTGTTGTGACTGGGTTTGCAGTGTGTTTTCAGAATTTGCATTGCTTTAAGAGTTTGCAACAAGTTTTTCATTATATTGTGTATTGGGTCCTTTTGGCCAGGGCTCTTATTTTGAAATAACTGACCTTGAATTGAAACCTATGTAGCTGTGCATTTCTTATTAAGGTTTCCTTGGTACTAGCATACAGTTTCAAAATCATTTTGTGTTTCAATAGGAGAAGTAGGCATTTAAAAAGTGCTTGACGTCTGAAGAACAAGTACGGCAGCACAGAGACACAAAAAGCTGAACCGTCTTGTGTGCAACATTAAGCCACTAATGGTTTGTTGTTCATAATGCAAGCAAAATTTTCGTGTGAGTGAACACTTAACATTGACCTCTTCTTTTCTTTCTTGACCTAACCAGCTCACACAAGCATGCTGATTACATTTTAACAAACAAGACAACGTAGACCACACAGAACGTTTTAAAATGTCTCAGAAGAAAATAACAGTACGAGCTACAGCAATGTGTCTGGCCAATGGATCTCCGGGCCTTCATAAAACTTTCATAAGATATCTATGAAATTTGGTAATTATTGATAAGTAGCTAAAATATCTTTTTAAAAAATGTTTCTATATAGAACCAAAAAAGGTTCTGCTATTGTTATGATAGCCAGGTTATAACAATAGAATAACCTGTTTTGGTGCTGTATAGAACCATTTTCAAAAAGGTTCTATATAGACTCATGTACAACACATTTTCCATCAGTTTGAAGAACCATTTCACCGTGCAAAGAACCATTTAAGCATTAAATGGAACCATTGCTTTTACTAAAGAATGGTTAAAGAAGGTTTTAGTATCTAGATCTTTAATTTCTGAAGTAAAAAGATGTTTACAATGAACACTGATGACAACAGCAGGGACCGTTGTAAAAGGACATACAATAGCCGTCTTAAAAAATGTAGTGCAGACTTCTGTGCCTGCACTGCCTGATACCTATCATTGAATATGAAGAGTCCAACAATCCAGTTACAAGTGTGAACTTGTTCATAACTTGCAGAACTGCATTACTATCAAGTTCAGTTCCTGTTAATTCTTGTGTTTATTATATTTGTACAGTGCCAGTCAAATGTCTGAACAAAATTAACTGAAGATATCATAGGCTTGTACATATAGTTAATCATTTAGTGCTGATTATTATTGCTTTGGCAAAACTTTTAAAAAATTTGCATCTTAAAGTGTGTATTTTAAAAAAAAGTAAAAGGTTCCTTCTTGAAAATGGCAAAGTTGGTGTTTTAAGGTTCTATTTGCAGTATGGCTGATGAATGAGGAAGAAAAAATCAAATTGCAATAAGCTCTTTATAGGACTTAGTAGCTTGGCCAGAGCCTCTTTAAGGGGAGCATGGCCACTTGATATTTTGCCCGTTATATCAGTAGTGTGTCTGCAAATTGCCAGAGCCCACAAACTAGTCCTCAGAGAATGGGGAGTGAAACAAAATGAAACTTGTTTCTAGACATTTGTGCAGGACTTTTGTTTCATTTTGGAAACTAGAATGATGTATTCCATTAAAAAACTTTGTTTCTTTCCTTTTTTTCTTTTTTTAGGTAGCACTGCTAAGTACTACTCAGTGCCACTGAGTGTTGATGGGCTAAAGCTATCCCCACACTTTGATGCCCTGATGTAGAAAGACCTATAACATGTCCAAAAGGGTCCAAAAGTACCAAAAATATTAATATTAGTAATGTTTTTCATGTTGAAACAATGGGTGCATATTAATGAGTAAAAAACAATGAAGCATTTTCTACGCTAAAAACTACGCTATTATTTTGTACAAAAGCGCCACAGGAACCCATTCTTTTTGGACTCATTTCAGAGCTTGAAAAGACATTATTGAGTGGCAGTTCTACTCACTAGACCATTTTTTACACCTTTTAAACAATTTAGTAATAAATCATAGCGGGAAAAAGCAAACAGAAATACTGATAACACTACAAACTGAACAATGACTTCAAAATACAGCAGTTTTTCAAGACAGAAGCAGTTATTAAGTAAGCAGCTGCTAATGTTTGCTAAATTTCTTAGCTTCCCTGCTAGGAAAACCAACATAGACCAGCACTATTGGTCACCAGCTAAAACCTGGATAAAATCCAGCTACAGAGGGCTAATCATGCTCTCTTTTTTCTTCACATTTTTAAATAAAGCTTTGAAGCCAAACAAATTATGCTGTCAATTGGAAGCTACACAAATATGCATCTATATCTGTTGAACTGAACCAGACCTCCTTTCGCAACTTTTATTTCTTCAGCATGTCATCCAGGTAGCTGCCAGGCAACATCAGAGAACCCATTAGGTGAGTTAGTTTTAATGTGTATTGTGTTGCATTGTATTATAAAATTTTAAAAAACGGCGGGCTACACTGATTGTACTATAAAATATAATACAAAATATATTTTTTGTTTGCACTGAGTTAGTGAAGGTAAGGAAGGAAGTTACGAGTAAGTGTACCCAAACATTTGACTGGCCCTGTATACTATATCCTGGTGGTTTCAGTTTGCCTCCTATACATCGGAAGTAGGTTAGCCTGTTATCTGTTTCAACTTCAGGACAGGAGAGATCAGTATACTGTCTCATTCCCACACTGAAAGCTCCTAGACCGGTTCACGCACCACCTGGAGTGGATCTAATGAAAAGGACGGGTCAGACATGCTGTGTCAAGTCTGAGCTGAGGAGAATCCAAGGCGATGTTGCCTCAGTGGGTGTGTGGTAAAAAAGCCAATCCCTTGTGGTTACGGCACACAATACAGTGAAACACAACCTTTTCCAAGGACAAGTGGTTTGGAATGTGGCTCCTAGAGGTGCTCAGCAAAAAGACAGAGAACGTTCTAGCATGCACTGTGTGTACTCACGTCCTGCATGACTCTGTTCCATGTGTTAGTGATCTGGGCTCCTTTGTCACTGCTCTCAGCGTAGTACCTCAGCATCTGCTTCTTCACAAGGTTACTGTTACCAACCAGCTACAACAGACAGGGAAGAAATCAAAATGATATAGTTAATTTATTAAAATGCTAATGTGGCTAAAAATGATGGAAAACTAGCACGGATGAGCTACACACTTTAATAAGATCAGATTAGTTAGAACCAGGAGTTCTGTGTAGAACCATTTCGTGCTTAAAGGGTTCTTTGCATGGTAAAATGGTTCTTCAGATTGATGGAGAATGTGTTCTATATTTTTTAAAAGAGGTTCTGCAGAGCACCACACAGGGCTCTTTTGTTGTTACAAGCTTGACATTGTAAGAAAAGCAAAACCCTTTTTGGCAAAACTCATGGATCTAAATAGAACCACTGCCTTTACTAACCCTTTTTAAGTGTGTAGCGTTCTCAACAGCATGGAAGATGAAGAAGGGATAGCCTATTTAAAATGCTAATACAGCTAAAAATGAATGAAAACTAGCCAGGTTGAGTTAGCATTCTCAACAACAGAGAGGATGTTGAAGGGATAGCTTATTCCCAGATAGCAGACAGTTCTGGGCCGATTCTGGCTTACATCCGTGAGTGTTGGTTGAGTTCCGGATAGATATTAGGCATGTGGACCACAACTGGGCCAGATAAATTTTGCTGACTGGGATTTAAAATGCTAATGTGGCTAAAAATGAATGAAAACTAGCCAGGTTAAGCTAGCATTCTCAACAGCAGGGAGCACGAAGAAGGGATAGTTTATTTAAAAAGCTAAAGCGGCTAAAAATGAATGAATACTAGTTAGGATGAGTTAGCATTCTCAACAGCAGGAGGGGTGTCAAAGAGAAAGTTTATTTAAAATGCTTATGTGACTAAAAATGGATAAAAACTAGTGAGGATGAGTTAGCATTCTCCACAACAGAGAAGATGTCGAAGTTTATTTAAAATGCTAATGTGGCTAAAAATACTGGCAGCGAGGTCTAATCATTTACCTAAAAATGTTAAAGTGGATGTCACGACCCGATTCGAACCAGAAACTCGATTTGGATCACACATGAGTGGCACAGACACATTAGCATGCATTGTCTAAGGCTGTGTCTGATACTGAAGGCAGATGTCTCGATGTTTCATAAGTCAGTGCCTCAGAAGACAGCATTGTGATGAACGTGCAGCCAGCGATACATCACGCTGTCGCCAAAATACAACACCTCACTGCTAGCTGTTACCGTTAGCATCTTTTTTTACAGTGTTTTAGAAGGCTAGGCTACATCTATGCTGCCTCCAAAAACTGACCAAACTTTTACATTAAAAATGTTTAAGAATTTCTAAACTGTGATTTTGCTCAAACGTTCCATCTTAACCCATTCATTTTGGACTCACTCGGGAGCGCCCTCTAGCGTTTGAGAAACCCGAAAGACATTAAAGAGTGGTAATTCTCCTCTCTACGAGTTATGATAACAACAACAACCAGTTAAAAAGATACATGCTAACATGGCTAAAAAGCTAATGAGGGGCAAATAGCATGTCATTTCTACAGCTCATGCTATTTGACCCTCATAACATTCATTTCTAACTAGCAAATTAGTGTTTTCAACTACATTTTTCATTCAATCTAGCAAATATGTCAAGGCAATTTAATTAGACACTAAACTGATGCTGCATTAAATCACTGATAACTTAATTTAGATTTTTATTAATGTTTCTAACAACTACAACTAAGGTAAAGGTCACACAGTGTTTACTTACATAGTCTCTGTTGGTGGCAGCTGTGATGCAGGAGGCACACTCGAATATGAAGATGATGAACATTATGATCAGATACTGTTGCAAACAGAACAAAGAAATAGGTTTAGAGTTTTGCATGCTGGACAATGAGACAGCACTGTTAGCACTGTAGTTATATAACAGGTAGGGGTGTAAATATGTGAGGTGGCACTGTCATTCGTATTGGCTGCTTATGTTATTAGCAATTATAATAATATTCAATAAAATATATGATTATTTTAAGCCAAAATAAAAGTCTTGGGCTATTTTCAGACATGTAAGATTTCACTAAAGCAATAAGCCATGAGAGGCAGTGCATTACTGCGATTTTATCAGGGGAAGGGTGTACTTAGCATCATGCCTAAAACTCCCTTCCCGTGATCAAAACGCAGTAACACAGTAGTATTATTAATAATAATCGACATAAACATTCCGCCAAGAAATGTAGTTCCTTTAGAGTATGGTATCGTTGCCAAGCAACCATGGACTGCTGAATGAAGTGAACGGTCAGTCACCTGTCGCTGTATATTGCAGTTTAATTTCATCAATTGTTAAACTTTTTGTTGTATAACAATGAACATATGGTAACACAGCACTGTTTAACACAAACACATTCGCTTTATAAGTACTTTTTGTTCACTACATTACCACTAGTCTTATTTAGCACCAATCCAGAGGTGCTCTTCTTCTCGTGCTGGGACTGAATCTCAAATCTCTCCCTGCTCCCTACATAGTGCACTACATAGGGATTTAAATACTAGATTCTGCAGCCCAACTGTGTCATATGTAGATAAGAAATAGACATTTGAGACACATTCACACTCAATAAATGATGCACTATTTGGCTGTAGAGGCTAGAATTTCTAAACTTTCATAGCTAGCACACTACTTAGGGAGTACGGAGCCATTTGGGATTCAGCCTTCTGACTGAAACACTGACACTTGAAGTCTGTAATCCATTTGACATTTTTAGACTTTTACAGTTAATCATACTGTAAGTACTTTAATTCAAGCCTGTGCTATTAATGATGGAGTTGCTTAGGCTGTTTACTATCTTTTAGCCTGTTAGCTAGCTGACCAGCCTAGTTCTGGTTAAGAACATAAGCTGCCAGCCCCTCAGACAAAAAATGGGTTCTTAATTCATCAGTATACTCAGTGATCCATGTGAGCAGCATTAGACTCAAAGATTACTCCATAAAAGGTTTTTTCATGCCGTGGCGCAGTAATACAGAATTCAGTCGCTGTGAGGTGGTCTAGGATGTGTGTATATAGTGGATTTTACAACAGCTACGAACGCGGCTCAGCCAATCAGATTTTAGGACCGGAACTGTCCGTTTTATAAAATGTATTAAATCGTTTAAGAATCACAGCCAAACTGAATGACTTTATTTACACCCATAATAACATGCAGTTGTACAGTGTGCAGCTTCTGATTTTCTCAAAACTTTCTCTCTTTTTCCATAGTGAATCACCTACCACCAGCATGAGAGAACGTCTCTTTTTCAGAGCCGCGAAGATGCCAAAGATGGTGGTGCAAAAGTAGGCAAAGCCAGTGAAGATGGCAATCCAGGCTCCAGCAAAGATGTCATCCTTCCCTGACACGCCGGATATTGGGTACAGCCTGTATCCATCTACTGCCACCCAAATGGCCAGCGCAAATAATGCCAGTCCTGCTGCCTGGAGTAAGACAATAACGCTGAGTTCAGGTAACATTTCATGCAAAAATGTTTGACAACTACACTCTTAGAATATAGAGGGTACTTTAAATGAAATTAGCATGAAATTAAAATAAATCAGCATGAAAATAGCGACTTTGGAGTGATGTCACTGAAGAACCACTTGTTTGTCTTGAAGAACCTTTAAGTCAATGGATGTTTCTTTAAAGCACTCAACTGAACTGAGTGGTTCTTTTGGGAAAGAGAAGTGATTCTACAGTATCGCTCTAAAGAACCATTAAAAGAGTGTAGCAGTAAATTAGCATACATTTACATCATTTACAGCATACTGCAATGTTAGCATTTTCGGGTGTAATATGATTTCAAAAGATGAGAAATCATCAAGTGTTCATCACAAGAGCACATACTAATAATAACAGCCAAAAAACTGAAGTCTAACTTCATAGAATAAAACTGATAGAATGTGAGATAACAACATATAGATAATCAACATGGCATTCTCTGAGATTAAGAGAAGAAGGAAAAAACTTTTCAATTGGAATGTTAACATATTAATTCACTATTATTACCTAAAAACCCCAAACTTACAGAAGCGAAGGCATTGCATATGATGAGAATGATCATCAGCCAGGTCATGCCCCCTCCGCTCGCCATTGCCGCAGAGTGTCCGTATCTGTTCTCGTGGTGGCACCAGTCCTGAGCGAAGACTAAATGATGATTATGGTCGATACTCAGCAGCACGGAAAATAAGAGGCTCGCGTGAAGGGGAGAGGCTTGTTTACACCCTCAGTTGTTCGTTGTGAAACAGGAGGGGAAAAAGTGAGCAAACCAGTTCTGCCCCTATCACCAGCATAGAGTAAATTTATACTTTTGACTGCATTTGGTTTGATACTTCAAGTTACACTCTTGGAAATCAAGTTTACTTAATGGTTCTTGGTTTGGATGTATGGTAGAAAAAAGCCTTTAATTTCTACATTATTTTGCCAATTATTTACATTATTTGAGAGTTCTTTACTTTGGAAAGCTACGCACTTACACAGCACATTTACAAAATTGAGTTATTAAGAACCAATCCAATCAAAGGCTCTTTAGGGAACCAAAAGTAGTTCTTTGGTCACATCACTCTCGACAACCTTTCTGCCACCTTTATTTTTAATTGATCTCCAAGTTAATGAAAATAATTAGTTTATTGTTTTGAAGCCAATTAAGGGTATTAAGGGTTCTGTCCATGGGTAGGAACCAAAAGGGGTTCTTCTCTCACTCTGAAGAGCCATTTGGGATCCTTTATTTTTAAGATTTGAAAAATTCTACCAATTTGAGAAAAGTTATTGAGAATAATAAGTTCCAAATTTTCTAATATTTTTTATCTTGAAGGCATAAAAAAGTTTTATAGTAGATACTACAAAAAAACGATTAATAACTGAGAGTTTATGGGGATAAGCAGATTCATCTACATTAATTAATTTTACATATACCCTAGTAATCTATGATAAGTAAGACTACACTCTTAAGAAAATATGGTTCTTGAAGGGTTCTTTAGTAAAGAAAATGGTTATATATATAACATTCAAAGGACCTTAGGAAAAGCCTTTAACTAGGTTGAACCTCTTCACTCTCACATCTCATTTACAATAAAGGTTCTTTAGAGAACTGTCATTGGCCGGTTATTTTGGGAACCAAAAGTGGTTTATCTATGTTATCCCTCCAAAGAGTATTCATTGAAATAAAGTTAAGGTGGGTGTAGAACGATGACATGCAGCAGGTTGTACTGGCATAAGACCGTTAAACAGGAACACACCTGTTCCCTGCCATGACTGAACCTGCCCCGCCTGTGCTGAGTACTGAACAGGTGCTTTCATAACAGTGAAGTATCATCTGCTTTCATTACTGAGATCAAGAGACAATAACAGGGACAACCCAACAGGGAAAGCCACATGCTTTCATAGACATCGCTGAGTGTGTGTGTGTAAGTATGTATGAGTGTGTGAGTGTGAGTGTGTGCGTGTATGTGAGTGTGTGTATGTGTGTGTGTGTGTGTGTGTGTGTGTGTGTGTGTGTGTGAAGGAAGCCCAGTATTTACAGATGCCTTCCAATACTACTTTTATTTACACTCTTTGTCCATCTCCACTTACTGTATAGGTGCACTTTGTAGTTCTACAGTTACAGACTGTAGTCCATCTGTTTCTCTGCATACTTTGTTAGCCCCCGTTTACCCTGTTCTGGTCAGGACCCCCACAGGACCCCCCACAGAGCAGGTACTATTTGGGTGGTGGGTCATTCTCAGCACTGCAGTAACACTGACGTGGTGGTGGTGTGTTAGTGTGTGTTGTGTTGGTACGAGTGGATCAGACACAAGAGCTGCTGGAGTTTTCAAACACTGTGTCCACTCACTGTCCACTCTATTAGACACACCTATCTGGTTGATCCACCTTGTAGATGTAAAATCATAGACAATAGCTCATCTGTTGCTGCACAGTTTGTGTTGGTCATCCTGTAGTTGTTCATCAGTGGTCACAGGATGCAGGACTACTCCTAGGGTAAAAGGGGGTGAACAAAGTATGCAGAGAAACAGATGGACTACAGTCTGTAACTGTAGAACTACAAAGTGCACCTATGTAGTAAGTGGAGCTGATAAAATGGACAATGAGTGTAGAAACAAGGAGGTGGTTTTTATGTTATGGCTGATCAGTGTATGTTTATATACATACCTACCTTGTACAGCTTTCTTAGTTATTCTAGAATCCTCATCATTCTAGACACATCTGAATTTTTTACAGCTTCTTCTAAACCTTTTGGTTTGCTACAATTAAAGTGCAATCATTTATATATGTATCTGCAACAAAACAGCAGAAACAGTGTTTCTGAAAACTTTTGAATGATCTTGAACAGTAGTGGACCTGTCCAGGGTGTATCCTGCCTTCCGCCCAATGACGGCTGGGATAGGCTCCAGCACCCCACCGTGACCCAGAAGGATAAGCGGTTTAGATGATGGATGGATGGATGAACAGTAGTGGAAATCTGAACTAATGCATAGATACACGCCCAAAAAATTCCTGAACAGAAAAGTTATATTCATTTAAATATACAATGGCAAAGCAGAAAACTAGATGCAATGCACTGATTAGCAGGGCAAGTTTTCTCTCAGTAAAAGAAAAGGCAGATGGCGCCACTTACTGGTGACAACAAGTTCCTTCATTTCTCATCAGATTTATGTTAAAGCAAGTCTGTCTTATTCCTGTGCATTTTATTTATGGGGGTTATACTGTTATGATCTGTCTATTGTAGCCATTATAGTCTCTTTATGGCCATTTTTGGTCCCATAAAGAAAAACATATTTAAAGAAAAGAGAGTGTGAAGGCCACATAATGTAAAGGAGTTCTTCCTAGAATCGTAAAATCGTGTGGAGGTTCTTCAAACTTAAAAAAAAAAGTTCTTCACTTTCACACATCCCATTAACAAAAAATGATTCTTTAAAGAACCAAGTTTTTTAGGGAACCAAACACAGTTCTTGTTGCTCCAAAGACCCATTCTGGGATCTTTATTTTTAAGAATGTCTCTGTTTCATAGTGACAATCACAATCATGTATGCAGACACTAATAATGGCACATATATTAAAACATGTTTAGTTTAGTTTTTCCTTTCCTTCTTTTTCTGAGATATTGTAGTACACTGTAGACAGGGGGGCTTTAACAGTGGGGTGTGATTCAGCAGTGCATGGGCTTAGAATTATAATGATTCATTAAAAACATTTTTGCTGAAATCGCGTTGTGTGCATGTCGTTTATCATTTAATGCTGTTTATTTTTAAGTGTTGTAGAGTCTGTAAAGGGAATGGTTCCATTTCAAACCATGAGTTGTATAAACACTTAAAAAAGATGGTTTGTCAAGGGTTTTTTAGTAAAAAAAAAAATGGTTCTATGTAGAACCATGAACACTCAAAGAACTCTTTCCATGATTAAAGGGCTCTTTGCATGTTGAAAGTGTTCTTCAGATTGAAGAAGAATGCTTCTAGGTTCTATATAGCACCAAAAAGATTCTTCTATTCTTACAAGCTTGATATTGTAACAATAGCAGAACCTTTCCAAAGATTCTATATAGAAACATTTGGAGATATAGAACCATGATGGAGAATGTGCTGTAAATGGTTCTACATAGAACCTTTTTGAAAAGGGTTCTATATAGCACTACAATGGCTCTTCTATAATAACAGGCTTGACATTGTCATGATAGAAGAACTCTTTTTTGGTGCTATTTAGAACCATCTACAGTACATTTTCCATCAATCTGAAGAACGCTTTCATCATGCAAAGAACCCTTTAATCATGCACAATATTCTTTGAGTGTTCATGGTTCTATATAGAACCATTTTCTTTACAAAAGAACCCTTAAAGAACCTTTTTTAAGAGTGTATATAACCATTTCATGCTTAAATGGTTCTTTGCATGGTGAAATGGTTCTTCAGATTGATGGAGAACGTGTTGCATATGGTTCTGTTTAGTGCCGAAAAGGGTTCTTCTATTGTTGTTATAAGCCTGTTAATGTTACAACAGAAGAAACTGTTTCAAAAAGGTTCTATATAGAACCATATACAATATGTTCTCCATCAATCTGAAAAACCATTTTACCATGCAAAAAACCAAGTGAGTATGAAATGGTTCTATGTGGAACTGAGGCTTCTAAATAGAACCGTTTCCTCTACTAAAGACCCTTTGAAGAACCATCTTTTTTAGTAATATGTAAAGTGAAAAGTCCTTTCTTGAAAATAGTGATTTGGTCTTATAGGTTCTATCTGCTCATAAGGTTCTATCAGTACAGCTTAAGAATGTGGGAAAACCAATCAAAATCCATGTTTTACCCATGTGACCAAGCTCAGAAATAGAGCCTAGTAGAAGATTTAGTAAGAAATCATAGTAGCAAAAAGATAAGCTGAAAAGGTAGTAATACTGCCAACTGGCCAAGGTCTGGTCAAGTTAGAAGCAGTTATTTAGCCAGCGATTGTTAATGTTTGCTTAAGTTAGCCAGCTTGGTCGCTAACTAGTTAAGTTATCTCTACAAAACAGAGAACAAACTAACAAAAGGGTGTAGCTGTTAAAAAGCCATTACTGAGAAAAGGAAAGAAGGACAAAATTTGCACTAGAGCACCAAAACTGGACATCTGAGACGAGAAGTAAGACTTTAAGGGCTGGTGAGTCTTAATTTGTAATTACTTGGGCTGCGAGAAGCAGAAAATGCAACCAACTTCTAAGACAAAACTATGAAGTGTGAAAAATAGCCCTGCAGATTTCTTTGAAAAACTGAAAGCAACTCTTCCAAAAAGAATGTAAGCTGTAATCAAAGCAAAAATGTGGTGTTGGGTAATTTACCACAGCATGATTGAAATAAAAATTTAGAAATGTATGAAAAACACCCATTCATAATTTCTGTGATGTGATATACTCCAAAACTAAAAGGGAAAAAAAGTCGGACTATGATATTTAATTAAAAAAATGTTTTCCAGTTTTACAGGAACAAGAGAAAGGAAACTTAATTGGAAGAACAGACAAAAATAGAGAAAAAATAATCTCAACAGGTCAGCATGTTTACACAGACACACATAACCTCACACGCAAAGGCTTAACTAAGACAAACACTTGAAGGAAATCCGCAGGCAAAACCTCTAAGAGTTGTGTGTGTGTGTGTGTGTGTGTGTGTGTGTGTGAGAGAGAGAGAGAGAGAAAGAGGGGTGGGGCTTAAGGGCCTTGAAGTTTGTCTTCTCCATCTAGAAGACTTGGTCAAAGCAGTTAAAGCTTCATGCAAATTATATGTAAAACAGACAATCTACACACACACACATATATGTATGTACATATATATATATATATATATATATATATATATATATATATATATATATATAAATGCATATATACACATATATACACATATATACACATATATACATGCATATATACATAAAGCTAGACACAATATCATTGGTCAGGTTCAGTCAACAAAGATAATGCCCATCATGCGCATCTTCATGACATCAGCAAGAGTCGCTCTCAGTCAGGTCCAAGGTCACCAAGGTCCAAATGGTCACCTTTCACCCAGTTATACAATGATGGAAATACCCAGATCCAACTTCTGTGTCTTCAGCCATCGCCATGTCTGTAGGATAGATTACAAATGGGCATCAACAAGTCTTTATCTTTATCAGCGTCCTTCTCACAGAACATGTCACAGGCTAAAGAACTATTTCCTAGGTGTAAGAAAAATATTCTTAAAAAAATATTTGATGTTAAAAACATTTAAATTTCATTACCGGAGATAATCTGCATCCATTCAGTCGACAGTTTTTACAGCTCTGTGTGTAATAGGCCGCCGCAGTCATGCGTCATTCTGTAGTCTGCAATATATTCATATTAGGTGTGCTAAGCTCGGTTTCTCTATGGCCAGAATGAATAGTGTTTTCAAAAAATCACCTCTATCGCACGCTGTGTTAAATAAAAATGTTCAGAACCCGATTTTAGTCCTGTGTACATTTTTCTCCCGAATATCACGGGATACTTCGAATTATTAGGTCATTAAAGAGCCTTATTATCAATATTGCTACAAGTAAGCTAATGCTTACTGCACATCAGTTTGATGTCACTAAACTAATTTACACAAAACTAAGGCAGGCTTTGGCGCTGTTCTGTCGAGTTGTGCTACCTTATTAAAATGTTCTACTGTAGCGCATAATTACAGGTATACCCATAAATAAAACCTCTAGGTAGAATATTCTGATAGGCTAAAACTCCTTATCAAAAATACTACCCATGTTAAAACTACAAGGCTGAATTGAGCTTCTTTTTCTCCAGCTTCTTGTTTGAATGTTCCCATTCCACCTTAAATGGTGCAGCTGTTGTGATTAGCCATCACAAACATTAGCAAACGGGACAAAACAAAACTGACTTGTTGGTTCTGTGAAACAGCAAAAATAAGTTAATATTACTTCTCATATCAGGCCTTTCAACCCTCCATGAAGCTGAAGTCAGCTTAATTTTCTCCAGCTACTTGTTAGAGTTTTCCTGTTCCACCTTAAATGGCGCAGCAGTTCAGAATGTAACTGCTGCACCACTGAAGGTGGAATGGGAAAAGTCAGCCAATTCCGTGCGCAGTAGCATTGGCTTACGTGTAGCAATATTCATATTTCAACTATTTAACCAGGATCCAGTGATATTTCATAGAACAAAACGAATCGGGTTCTGAACATTTTTATCTACCACAGGGTGCGATAGAAGCGATGTTTTGAAAACCCTATTCATTTGGGCCATAGAGAAACCGAGCGGAGACCCAGAGTTCCTAATATGGGCATAAGAATATGGCGCTGACTACAAAATGATGACATGACCACAGAGGTCTATTTTCTGTCAAATATATGTTTTCTGCTTTTTTCCTGATGCTGAAAAATGAGTAACTTGTACCTAATGGCTGTTTTGATTGGAAATTAAATAGATGAAGGTAGTAGGACTTTGAGACAGTGTACACACTTTCACTCACATACTTTATCCACTCCTGTCTGTTACCTCCACATGTTGATGTATCCAACTGTGGTAGCAGCGGCTTTACTCTTTGCAACAAGTGAAAACTCATGATGAGACAACACTTTTCATTGTTGGGGGTTAATTTGTGGACTGGCTGTTTTGCTCATTTTGAGAAGAAAAATTATGGAAATGCTAAATATCCTTCTCTGCCTACCCTTATCACCCTCATCACCCTGTACTCCTTAGCATCAACACCGGTGCTAAGATCTCTGTTTTTGTGTCTTCAGTTTATGTGTCCTAGCAACTGTCTGTCATACGTGGCTTGTGTTTGTAGTAAATATTATACTTCCTGCATTTCGAAACAGGTTTGTGTTTGTTTTTATGGGTTTCTGTGTACATACATTTCAAGATACCATCATGTGACATGCTGTCCTAGCCAGAGTGAAATTAGCAGAATAATTAGGCCCTTACATGGTTGTTTATTACATGTATAACAGAAAAAGTGTACAGTACTGCGCAGAAGTCAGAGACAACTCTTATTTAATTTCCAGTCAAAACAGCCATAAGTAGAAGTAATTTATTTTACAGGTGATATATCTGAGGGGACTAGATATGAGATAATTCACTTGCATACAGAGGAGGAAAGTCAAAGGACATAATTGCAAAGAAACAGTTCCCAAAACTGGAGTATATTTAAAAAAAACTGATCAAAAGATACAAAGAAAATGAGACTGTGCAAGACCTGGAAGACAACCAACAGTGTCACCAGCAGATGAACAGTCTTTAAAACTTAAAAAGAAAATCAAGCTCCACTTTTGCTTCAGATCTGAACAAATCCACAGTTAATGTTTCCATCCATGAAAAGGTCTCAGAGTCCAGACCTCACCATCATTGAATCTGTTTGGGATTACTTGGATTGTGAGAAGCAATAAATATCAATAAAAACAACTTCTACGACTGAACTTTGGAGCTGTGAAACATCCCTGCAGATTTAATTGAAAAATTGAAAGCAAGCCTCCTGAAAAGAATGGAATCCGTATAGTTGTTTAGACTTCTGTGTAATTTTCTGTTAAATATTTTTTTCTGCTTTTTTTCTGAAAAATCAAAAACGTAATGGCTGTTTTGACTCAGAATTAATAACGATGAAGTGTGGTGTCTGGCTTTTGTACAGTGCTGTATATATATTTAGAAAATCAAAAAGATGCCTAGCAGAATTTGGTCGCCAAGAACTATACACAGTGATCGACAAGGATGATTGCCTCCCTACAATTCCAGGAATCAATAGTAGGCTTGTAGTACTTTTAAACTGCAAGCAGTGGGTACTTTTCCCACAGACCCATCACAAACTCTAGGTGAGAATAAAGTTGTTTGGATTTAGCGGCACCGACCTGTTCCTTGTCTCAATTCAGGTTGTTATATTTGCCGATGTTCTTTACTCACACCAAGTAAACTTTGACGCCCTGGGAACACTGTTTGTATTTCGCCTTGAGTCTCTGCCAAACAAAGTATTGACTTAGTGCAGCTTATTGGTCCACTGTGCCACTTTAATTCAGCTGGATTGAGGTGCAGACGTCTCAGTTTTGCTGCTTGACTCACTTGTGTTTCTTCTACCAGACAATGGAAGGGAAACTTCCAGAAGAACAGGTGAAATCTGTGTTGGCTCCATGGAGATTTTCTTTACAGTCGAGTGGATTTGAGAACAGGATTGTGACAGCGCTGGAACTTTACGAGCGCTTCCCGATAGACATAGTTGTCACTGGAGGAACCAAGGAGGCTAACGCAAAGCTAGCTGTTGCTCTCTGTGGCATAGAAGATGGACAGTCCTCAGAAGAAGAAGAGGAAGAAGAAACAAGTGACGAGGAGGAGGACATTAGTGAGAAGGAGGAGGATGAAGACAAAGAGAGAGATGATAAATTAAGAGTTAGCATAACTGCTGAAAAGAATGAAGAAGATGATAGACCAAGAGTGAGCACAGATGCTGAGAAAGATGAAAAGGAAAAAGATGCTCAGTCAAAAGTTAGCATACCTGCTAAAGTCCCAAGAGAACATAAAACACGTGTGAGAATTACAGAGTATGCATATAGCTCTCAGGAAGAAGGTTCAGATTCTGATCCCATGCTTTTGCACCGTAATGTCCCCAACGTCCGCATTTGGACAGCCGAAGGTGGTTCCTCTTCCATTCAAAACAACTATGATGTGTTGGTGGTCCTCACCACAGAACTGCACCAGGAGGACCAGATGAGAATCACCATTGAGCAACGTGAAAAAGACAAGCCCTTGTACCTGGTAAAAGCGGAGCAGGAATGGGATCTTGTCTTTGAAAAGCCTACAGGACCCTGCATGACCTGTGCATGGGAACGAATGAGAGCTCGCAATCTGGAGCTCCAGAAGAAACATAAACTAGCACTTGAATCAGGAGAGAATGCAAATGGAGAACAGACGTCTTCAGGTCTTCCCCAGGTTGCTAAGCTTTTAGGCCTCAAGGAGATTGCAGAAGTTTTGATGAAAGCTTTACCTGATCTGCGGAAAAAGGCTTTCAGTCAATTTCTGGTGGACATCACAAGAGAACTTAGGGTTCCTAAAGTACCAAATAGTAGCACAACGTAAGTATATCTGTTTGTCTGTGTGCAATAATTGTAGCCAAACCACTCAACTCTTGCTAGTTTCATTTATTGCATGTATCATTGAAGTATCAAAGCAAATTTGTGATGGATGTCCTTGAATGTCTGCCTCCAGCCTTTCTAACTTTCATGCCGTGTCATCACATGTACTCCACAGACCCCTGGTATGTTCTGCTTTGAAAAGCAGAAAGATAAGCCAGGAAGACCTGGACCGAATCTCTGAAGTCTTTCATCCCAGAGATCTCACTGATCAACCATCCAAGCTGCTCTCCATCCTCACCGCTCTGGAACATTTCCGGCTCGACGTTGGTCTGCTTGGGGAGACAGGCTGCGGCAGCTCCAGCCTGTTCAACTCCCTCCTGGGCCTGCAGAATGACGAAGAAGGAGCTGCATCCGTTGGTGTCACTGAGACCACCCAGGAGCCTGTGGCATATCCTTACCTGGAATGTTACAATACCCTTCTTTGGGACCTCCCAGGATTGGGAAGAGTGGGGGACTTAAAGAACCAGTCTGCTGGTTCTGATTTGCACCAGGCATCTGTCTTACCTTCTAATCTCCCTGCCTGTGATGTCTACGTCCTGGTATCTCCCATGAGGCTTGGTCTAGGCTACATTCGGCTGTTACAGCACCTTCTGTCCCAGGGGAAATCTTGCTACCTGGTACTCTCTAAGGCTGACTTGATTGAGGAGAAGTCCATTGAAGAGGTGAGGAGATGGACTGACGAGGTTTTGGGGAAGTTAGGTCTTAAGCAGAGTGTGTTTCTGGTGTCAGCGCTTGATCCGGAGGCTATGGATTTGCCCAAACTGAAAGAGACACTGAACAGTGCAATGCCATACCATAAGAGAGCCACTCTGGCTAGTTATGTAGCAAAGCTCCTGGAGCAAGATGTCTTTTGGAAAAGGGCTGATCCTTGCAAATTAATGTGACCTTATATATGTAACCGACTTTTATGCAAACAGTTTAAGGGATGGTTCAGCAAAAAATCTAATGTACACAGTGTTCTATGTACCCCAGATATATTCGATCAGCCATATTCAGTGTCCAAATTTAGCTTCTTATGTTTTCAATTTGGCACAACAACTACTGTCTAAAATGGCTGCCCACAGCATCCAGCTGCACGGTAAAGTTTTGTTCATCTTTATAGCTCACAGTAAGTTAATTAGTCTGTGTGACCTCAATGAAGATCTGGATGAGGTTTGAGCAGGTTAAGAGAAGCTTTGGGGAGGTATTTATGGAAAAGATTTGAGTGACTTGACATCTGGTGTTTCCTTTATCTTTAAGCACACTTTGCAAATCTTTGTGCTAAAAGTCTTCATGCTAATGGATTATGCTTTATACAGTTTAACTATATGTAACTCGTAAAGTTTATATGGGGAATCCCATAATTAAATGTGCATTTTAACTCAATAAACTTTGACTACCATGCTGGGCGTCTGTGTTTGTACAGGAGGTTTTCTGTTTGTTTCAAAAAACACCTAAAACAAACTCCAGAACTAATTTAAGAGTTTTCCACACAGACTATCATCTGTCACAGGCCATCCCACTAGATGGCGCAATGATATAAGGCAAAGTCTTAGGAAGAATTCACAGTGCAAGTTGACCGTTTTCCAAGGTAATTTAGATAATTACAGTACAGGTGTTGAGCAATGAGGCAAGTAATTCTTCAAGGAGATCTGCTCTTTGGATTCACTGATTTTGAAGTGTCCCAAAGGGACATGTGACACTTGCTCTCAGACTTTACATGCTTTTGTCACAAAGCAGTTATGCAAGTTCAATGAGTAAGGCAGGACAGAACATGAAAATGGGTCTGTTGCTTTCTTCGGTGAATGACGGGTGAGCACCGCGTTGTGGCAGCCCCATGTAGCTTGCGGCCAGTGTTTAATGCTCACCTGCTGAGTTGATGTGACAGCCCTATCTCCATCTCTGTCATTCATCTGCCCTTTTCTTTTCTGCGTTGGAAAACGGTGGAAAGATACTGCTTGTTAGTTCTAACCTCTGGCGTCCCACCTGTCCAACTCGACTCCACCCAGTGGAGCCTAGGGGTGAAGTTTGTTTAGTTATTAACACCGAGGGGCCACTTGCATCTTCTTAATTATTCAGAAGGAGGACAAACCCTAAGGGTGCAATTTCAACATGCATATTTGCACAGATGAATAGTGATAGGCCAGAGTGTAGTACCCAAAGCACTATAAAATGCAGTTGCTTCACAACTGTTTGAGACACTTGTGAGGCCTTTATTTGCCTATGGTGTTCTAAGAGAGCACTTGAAGACCATAGTCATTTCCTACAACTTGGTTTGTCCTGTTTATACGTACTGCTGATATGTTTTAGCTAGAAAGAAAACTTTTTAGCACATCATTTTGTGTACTGTGTTGCTGACCAACTAAAGGCAGAGGGAGACTGAGACTGAGGCAGGAAACTCTCTCGTGTTTCAAGTAGTGCATCTATAAAGGCCACAATGGAACTGGACAGCAATGGCCTGTCCGTGCAGTGCTACCTGAAGCCCAGGGTTATGGGTAAGGTACGACGTCGTCTTCAGGAGATGAGGAGCCCCTCTGCCCAACTGTCAACCATGGACCTGAGTCACAATGAAAGCGCCCGACTGGCCACTGATGCCCTCCTGGACCATGGCCTGAAGACCTACCAGGACGTTCTGGTCAGAGAAGAAGAAGCAGACTTCCTATCTATGCAAGAAAAGGGCTACATTTTGGGCAATGTTAAAGAGCCTGCGAAAAACGACACTGAAGATGTGATTGATGAGGATACGTCCAGCTCTAGCTCAGAGTCTAGCTCACAGACGTACTTTCCCATGGTTTCAGACAGTGAGCCTCCCTGTCTGGACTTTGGCTGGCCAGTTGCGGACTGGAGTTACCACCTAAAGGGGCTTCCCAGTGTGGAGGTATTCTTCCAGTCACCTAATTCAGTCAGCATGAAAGATCTGCTGCGGGAATTCATCAGAAAAGCAACATCAGTGAGTATGTTATATTTAGATAGGACAATTTTTATGGGAAAGTGACTTGGTAACAATAATAGATTGCTGTTACTAATTAAAGATGAATCTAAGTCAGTGTTTCAGAAATTAAGACAAGCAGATCTAGGTCAGAAGTGCCCAAACCTGCTCTCAGATATCTGCCCTTCATATTTACATCTGAATATTACAACTACATATGGGTAGAATTAAACTCCAGGGTGGTAGATCACCTACAGCAAGGTTGGGCACTACATAGTCTACAGAAAGCATGCAATAATCCTATTTTAACATGACCATGTTTACAGGTAACCCTGTATGATATGGGTATAATACCAAAGTGTGATTGTATTGTTTTGTATCGTAATTGCGATACGCCTTGCAGTAAATTAAAAATACATTGATGAAACCTTGATCTTAGTAGCCTCTTTCTGCAGTCCCCCAGTGGCCATTCCACCGGTGCAATGGAAATCCACTCGGTTATTTTTAATTCATATTCAATATGATCAAATTAAACATTTTTTCTTGTAACTTAGATTAACAAGGAGCCCGTTTGCTGAGCTGCTAGTGAGTAATGAGGGGTGAAAAGATGAGAACCCCCTTCTGTGAAAACATAGAACGTATGATAAATCCATATAGACTGCCATGCTGAGACAAAACGGACAGCACAGAGGTTCTGCGTTTTATAGTTACTGATTGGTCTGATTTATTTTCAGCAAAACAATTTAGCCTATGTTTGTTGGATCACCTTCATCAAAACAGCTACACTCTCAGAAGTAAAGGTACTAAACTGTCACTGGGGTGGTAACATAATGGGTACGTCTTAGTATCTTTAGTCAGTACTATAATCCATTAAAATGATATTTTCTAAGTTGTACTGACTCCACACACCAAGTCTCGTCTCCAGGCCTTTTATTTTATTGTTGTGTTTTAGAATGTTTTTTATGAAAAGGTACAAATACATACTTTTCACCTGGGAAAAACTTCTTTAAGGTGCACAGTTGAACTTTAAAACCACTGTTGTACCTTTGAGGGAACATTTACATTGATTGTACCTTGATGAATGAAACATGTACCTAACAGGGTACAGAACATACAGTAAGAACAGATGAGATTGGTGAGAATGTTAAAAACCCACTGTAACTGGTTACAGTTGCAGTGACGGTTAACAAACAATACATTGTGCACCCCTAATTACAGGTTCTGGCAATTGTGATGGACGCTTTCAGTGATGTGGAGATTTTCTGTGATATTCTTGAGGCCACAAAAAAGCGTAACATATCTGTCTATCTTCTACTGGACCACATCAACCTGCAGGTGTTTAAAGAGATGTGTGGAAATTTACAGATCAACAAATCACATCTTACTGTAAGTAGAACATTATTTTTACTGATTCATTCTACATTCTACTGAGTATTAACTGTACATGAATGTTGATGCTGACTGCAATTCTTGGGTTAATCACAATCTGTCATCCAAAGCTCTTGTGTAAAAATATAAAAATTGGTCCCACTTTATATTGTCTTTAATAATTGTGTAGTTACAGGTGAACAACATGTGCAACAATGTAACTACTAATGATTGTCACTGTTACACATGGAATACAGAAGTACACCTTATGTAATTACATGTGTATCAACTTCAGTTTTGCCTCATGTAATTACACAAGTGTATCTTAATAATTGTAACAGCCTATTCTATCTCATGTAATTACACAATAGTAATAACATAAATGTAATTACATCTGTAATCAGACTGGAACAGCAGTTGTTTTCAGAAGTCTTTTCCAGCAGTAAAAGGAAGGATGTAATAACTTACATTAAGACATTACTGACACTGTATCTGCCAGCTTTCCTAACATTTAACTCGCGTTTATGATGCCAGTGCTGAGACACTGTAACCAGTTTCAGCTTTAAACCATTCTGTAATGTGACAGAACAGCAAACGCCCCCTTATCTTAACATGTAACTGTTATGACATTAATTAAATGTGTTGCATTACCTCAAAAACAGCGTCTATATTACCACTGCATTATTACACAGTACCTACATAACAACTACACAGGAACTGTCCACTTATTCTAAAGTGTAACTTTAACACTGCACCACAGGAACGTTCCTGTGGAGTTGTTATATAGAAACAATGTAATTACAGAACAGAATAATTAATGTCCTGTGATTAGGTTACCTTGTTACAACACAGTTATTCCACAGTAATTATGTAAAACATAAATGTAATGTTATGTAAAACATACTTCCTTTAACTGCTGGAAAAGACTTCTGATCTGTAGTGTATCAAAAAGATACACTTGTGTAATAACATGAAGCAAAACTGAAGTTGATACACGTGTTATTACATAGGCTGTACTTCTGTAATCCGTCTGTAACATTGACTAAATCACCAGTAGTTACGTTGTTGTTGCATATGTTATTCATGTGTAACTACACAGTTATTAGAGACAATGTAAAGTGGGACCTAAAAATGTATCCTGCTACTTTATATTGATAAACTCTTTTCAAAGCTCAAAAATGAAATGTAACTATATGTCCATTGGTGCATTGCAACATACTGTCCTTCTCTTTCATTATTTATTCTTGGTGTCTCATTTTTTCCACAAACAGCACTCTGATAAGCAGATAACGTTGTTTTTTCCTCCTGACAGCACATGTCAGTTCGCAGCATTGGTGGAGAAACCTACTGCGCCAAGTCTGGAAGGAAATTTACTGGCCAGGTTAAGGAGAAGTTCATGATTGTGGACTGCACCCATGTACTTGCTGGGACATACAGGTAAATATCAATTTAATGGGAATTAAATGATAGAATCGCCATAGTATTAGCAATACGTACTGCCTGAAAAAGAGAGAGAATATTATCAGAATTCAAGAAACTGATGTAGTATCCTCTTTCTGTAAGGAATGGGTGAAAACTATAAAGGGTAATAGGTTCTTTATGGGTATCCTTCATTGTTACTCTTGTTAGCGTCACGTTGTGTGGGGTGGTTTGGATACCTTTATTTCTTCAAGTGGCTTTCTGAGACGAGTAACATACTAAACCTACTCTTTCCTTTCACTGTAGCTTTACCTGGTTGTCCTGGCAGGTTGACAGGAGCTCGGCGATGCTCTTTAAAGGGGCAAGCGTGAAGGCCTTTGACATTGAGTTTCGCCGGCTATACGCCGCCTCAAAACCAGTACCAGAATTCTCTACATTGCCAGATTCAGATGCCCTGAGTCCTCTTGTACATTTCATGGAACCACCAACACCAGAAATAAATGCTAACATGGTCCCACAGGCCAATGTCAGTAAAGTCCCCCAACTCCTGAATCTCAGTTCTCCTCTACCCCTTTTGTCCGGGCTATCTAGCCAGCCATTTCTCACTGCCAGACCTCTGGGGTCACTCTGGCTCCCACAGAGGATCCATCGGCCTGGAGTTTCTCAGCGTTTCTTACCCAGAAATTATAATGTCGGGAACCTTCCTTGGCACCTTCAAAACAACAACTACCACTACCTCCATGGAGGTGTTCCACTGACCACTCAACGGCTTTTGCATACCAGGTTAGACAGTGCTGTGTTTGGGGAACAACATTCGCTGGCTCTGTAATGTGTTTCCCCACGTTTCTGAGCCTTTTACATGCTTCAGCTTGTAATTCATATGCTTTCGTTCCAAAATTTGGAATCACTTTAGTTATTCGAAAAAAACTCACAGTGCTAACATTATTTAATACATGTTCCAACAACAGTTGGCTTTATATTATTGAAAATGCTTCTCCTGAAAACACTACTTTTGTGTGCTGCACTACTGTCTGTCTGATAGACTGGTGGAGCCTCATTTATTGGTATTGATATTTAATGTTTTATTGCCTTTTAACCTGAACTATCTGGGGTTAGAATTGAGAAACTAAGGCAAAATTGGCAATTCTCATTTGAAGATGTTTAATTAGGCACATGTTCATGAATAGTTTGTAGGGAGGTCCTGCTCTGAACCTAAAGATCGGGATCCAAGCCGATCAAAGCATATCTTAATGGAGCGTCTACATCCAGGTCCAATCCTTTGTTTATATTCCAGGTCCGATTGTTTCCTGCTTGTTTTTTTGTGTTATGCTTACGTCATAAGCAAATATTTAACATGCTGTAAATGGTAATTAAAAAAAACAAAACATAGTCCAGCCACATTACATACTTAAATTGCTGATGACACATAAAATGCGATTTCTGCCTGTTTTGGAGGTCCCTGCATTTCTGCATTATGTATTCTTTTTCTTCATATATTTCTATGGAGTATATGAATGGGCTTGTCTCAAATGCATTATAGATCACTTTCAAAAATGTTCTTTTATCTCATGAAATATGTTGGGAGTGGACTTTACACATATGAGAAATATAGATGTGCTATATTATGAATATTATTATTAATAAAGAAATAAAAAATGTTTTTCATTATACATCAGCTGTTATTCTTTGCAAAAACACACTATATCCAAATTGTTACAAATGGACATACAGCATGTTGGAATGAAACTCTTCATAGTTTTATGGAAACGTGTATGTTTTACAAAAACAGAAGCAGACTGGATTTTCACTTGACTTTTTTCACTGAGCGTCTAAAATTAGGCTCATGCTCAAGCTACTCACTCTGCTCCCCCACCGGAAGAAATACAGCTAGCATTTATGTTATTTCAGGATAGCTGTATGTGTTTGATGCAGAAATGCTGATTCAGCATTTTCTGTTATAACAATTTCTCTGACCAAAACAAAACACAAAAGGAAAACAGCAGATCAATAAGCAGCCATTTTCTCCACTTTAATATCTGTAATGACATCAGCTCGAAAATTCCACAGTGTACGAGTGCAATATATATCAATACATTTCACATACATTTACAGGTCACGAATGTTTAAAATTTCCATTCTTAAAAAACCTAAAAGATAGAAAAACTTTTATTCTTCACTACACAGACTCATTAAAACTGGCATTACTATACACATCTGTTTAAATACATTTCTTTACCGTAATATCTTCTGTGTTCCTATTCACTCTTATACCTTATTGCTGGACAAATCTGTTTTCTCTTCTGTTAGAAGGCATGCATGTAGTTTGTTCCACCACCTCTCCTCAAAGTCCTTGATGGAAAGGCCTGATAAACTCTCACCATCCTGGTTCTCCTCCCGCATCTTCTCTGGGTTCAGATCTTCTGCCATTACCTGCACGTACAACAGCAGAACAGACGTTTAAACCTTTAGTATGCATGCCAGTGTAACATATAGGGCTGTCAAATGATGAAAAGAATTCATCGTGATTAATCACATTATTTTGTGTTTATCTTATTTTGTGATTATTCCTGTTTCTCTTCTTCACTCTAATCTGGCCATAAAGAAAAAGCTATATGAGTGGACAAAATTAGCCTTATTTGAAGGCCCCCCCCCTGTTATATTAACAGCAGTATATTACTGCTGTTAATATAACAGTTATAAGAATATTCAGCATAAAATGTGCTTACAGTATGCAAAAGTATTGGCACCCCTGGACAAATGACATTTTGCTGATTTTCTAAGCGAAAATAAACAAACATCCTCTACAGAGAAGATGCTTCTGCACACTTAAGAACACAGTTACTGTTTATTGGCTGAATTTAGATATTGGAAAAAAAAACAAAATGTAGCCTGTGCAAAAGCTTTGCCACATTTTATACTGTATGTTTAATTTTTCCCATCTTGCACATGTTAATCTCTGCAAATAAATAGAAACTGAGCACAAAGATTTGCACAAAATGACATATTTCAGTGTGTTCTCTGTAGAGGATGTGTTAACTTACTTTAACTTAGAAACTCAACCAAACATGTCGTTTGACCGGAAGTATTTAAAGTTTTGCATAAGACGCTGTATGTTTGCCAAAATAACAGTTTTGGGCAATCTGCCAACATAGAAATCAAAAAAAGCTTGGTGTATTACTCAACTACTGTGATAGAACTTCCATCAGTCGTCTGTGCATTGAGTGTAATTTTTTAAACAATTCTGAATCGTATTAAAATAGTCCAATCAAAATAGTTTTATTTGCTGATGGATTGAATAATCACTAATCACTGAAATAATCATAATCAAATTGAACTGTTATTAGATTTACATCCCAGAGGTCTCAGAAAGCAGAATTTCTTAGGCAGATGACTGAACTTAGTTCTGTCTAACCCTGGATTTGCTCACGATGGTGGATCACTTTTTTACTGGGCTACATTACCAAGGCAACTTATGTCGCTATATATACTCCTAACCTGCTCCAGGACCAGCTAAGTGTGGGACTTTGGCTGTTGGACCAATCAGTGTGAGCTTTTGTCTAATTAGGGACAACCCTCTGATGGAAGTGGACACCTCCAATCCTGTTCGGGTCACTTTTTTTCTTCTTTGTGACCTTTGTGGCGTCAGTTACATGAAATCTAAAACTTTTCAGCAGAGCAAACTCCTCGTGTTTCACACAATTAGCTGTTTGCTATAAACCTGATGCTTTTGTGTGCACATGCATGAGGATTAATCACAGCCTGAGTCTCTAGAACTAGACCAACAGAGAAGCTTGTAACTGTTGGTGTAAAACGGGTTAACTGTGGTTGCATTAGTTAAGCTCAGTGACGCTAAAACTTAGTCTGGAACTAGTCAGAATACGGGCCTTATAATAACATGTCCTTGTAATTACAAGGCCTGTATTCTAACACTAGTTATTTACACTGTACTGAGGTCTGACCTATGAAAAAATAGCAATATGTCTCACCTCAGAGATGATTCTGAGTGTTTCCTCTTCCAGCTGCAGCCTCTGCAGAGACTCCTCGATTTCCTTTAAGGCTCTCTTGCTCTTCTCCAGCACGAAGGAGAACTGTTGAGTCCTCAGTATCTCAATCAGCAGCCTGAAGAAATGAAAAGTAGGTATTATTTTTATTCTCAATCTGTGCCAAAAAAGGAGGGGGCGTGGTTTCTATCATTTGTGAACTGAATGAACTGAATGAACAGACCTTGTTCTAACGAAGCACATGGAGGCCTTTAACCGTGCCATTTTTCTCTCTTCCTGCTGCTGAATTAAGGCCTGTGACTCCAAAATGTGATTCAGATTCTCGAGGCAGGTGGAGGACTCCAGGAGGCTTTGGTGGCTTGTAGCCAGTTTCAACCAGTGCCATGGATTGAACGGGTGAATGGAACACAAGTGCTGCAGGTTAGATATGCTGTTCTTTAGATCTCTGCACCCCTCATGAATGGTCAGCTCTAGCTGAAGGATGCAGGTCAAGTGACAGGTGTTGGTTGCCTCTTTCCTCTATCAAAAAAAATCAGTACCAGGTATTAGAAATGTGTATGTGTAACCATATAAAGAAATAAGCCACCTGAGGCTGTATGTTACGGTGGTTTCACCAAAACCCCCTTAAAACTGTGTCAATAAGAAGTCATTCAGAGTGGTCTGATATGAAATGCTTCATTCTAGAGAAACATAGTCAGAACTGTTCACAGTAGTAATGACAGTAACCAGACATCTGTGGTCTCTCACAGAAAATGATTACATGAAATGGGATAAATTCTCTCCCTGATAACCGAGACATTGTTTTACGAAAGGTCAGAGATCAAATTTTGGCCTAAAACATATATTTTTTGAAATCCATTCATGGTAAAAATGTATAAGCAGGGCGCTTTAAGGCGAAATAGTTCCCAAATACAAGTCTTTTTCCAGATTTACCTGTATTTACCATCATGAACCTTGCATATAAAAACTCAAAAGACAAGTGTAGGTTCATTGGTGGATTTGGAATAATGGCTATACTTGTATTGTAGACATCGCAAGCTCTGGTTCCTATCATCACCACTGGAAAGAGATCCAAATAAGCTTTTTCTCTAAAATGCACCTTTTACATCAAAGCCTTTGATTTGACTTTGTTTACATCTCAAAGACTGAAGTACACAGAATTTTCCAACATTTGTAGAATTCCCCTTTAAGCATGCTAGAATTACTGCAATGCACAGCCTTTCATTTCAGAAAATGATGACAAAGCTAAATATAACATATCAATGGACAATAAATAATTTATTATTCATAATGAATAAATTCCTTACTGAGAAATTAGTTCATTATGGCTGACAAGCACATACTGTTTCCAATAGCTTGGCAGATTAACACAGAATTCAGATGATGTGTGTGGTCATACGTGTATATCAGTTTTATAAAAAAGGACAGTTCCAGTCCCAAAATCTGCTTGGCTGAATCTGCTGTAAAATACTCAATATTCGATATACTAAACATTCTTGCTCTCTTTCAGCAGTCCATGGTTGCTTGGCAAAAACAACATACTCTAAACGAACATTATTTTGATTTGTTTATCTCGATTATTATTAATAATATCAAAAGACATTTACTGAAAATGGTGTATTTTATCATATTTTATGTTGTCCGCTATTTTACAAAAGGAATAAGCCGCGAGTATCTAATAACACCCTTACCTGTAATACAATCACTGTAATGTATGGCCTCTCTTGGCTTATTGCTTTATTTTACAATGCCTTCAAATGTAGCTCAGCCAAACAGATTTCAAGACAAATACTATTCGTTTTATAAAACTCGATTAATCATTCCAAGTGCCAGTATTTAAATAGTGAAATCATTATTTGGGTATAATGCACCCCCTACTGGAGGTAAGTTTACCTGCAGCAGTCAAATGATTTTTGCTATACATCGTTACTACTAATTACTCCTGTGCTGAAAAAAAACCCAGCATAAACCTGCATGTATTCCATGCTGGTCTGCTGCTGGTTTAGCTGGTCATCCAGCATGATCATACTGGTTGACCAGCATACCAGCAGAAAACAACATAAGCTGGTTTTAATGATGACCAGTCTATGCTGTTTTTTTTTAGCAGGATCACAGTACACACCAAGTATTAAATACAGCTGCTCTTGAAACCAAGCAAGTATCAAACTGTGTGTACCAGCTTTTCACAGGTCTCCAGAGCTCGCTCTCTCAACCCGAGATGACTGTAGCATCGTGCGATGCTCTCCAGGACGTCTCTTTTGAGAGACAGATTGCCATTCGGCACCAACGAAAGGCAAGCCCTGTAGTCGTCTACAGCACCCTGTAATTTTCAAACAGAAACAACACCATCTGAACAATGACACTCAGGACTGTGACAGAAATGCAGATACTACTTTATGAGAAATAAAATATGGACTCGTTCATTCACTCAGCAGTAAATCACCTGATACTCTTTTCTCCTGTATTTCAGGTCTGCCCGAAACTTCATGGTTTTCTGCTCGTCCAGATCGTCTTCAAATCTTTCATAGTGACAAAACCACTGAAGCCAAGGAAGAAAAGTCAGGTGAATGAGCGAGAGACAATCAGAGACGGGATTCATTTCTGATATATACAGTTGTGTGCAAAAGTTTGGGCACTCCTGGTTTACAGGTGTTGATTTCCTAAATTAAAAAAGTACAGGGTACGGAGAACAAACCCAAATATGGCATTTTTCGATGCTAATTTTAGGGCTCTACTGTTTCGCTATGTTTAACATATTGGAAGAAAATAACACATACAAAATTAAATGTGCCACAATGTTTGCACACGTCACCTGTCACACTTCTGTATATGACTGTGAATTTGAAAAACAAAAAGTAGCCAGTTTATCAGAAACACCTGCCTAGAAATTCACTCACAGGCCAGTAATGGACAAGGTAGAGCATATTAAAGGAGCCATATTAAAATCTCAACAAATCCATGGGGCAGAGAAAAAAATTCACTTTTAATTAATGTTGTAACCCAAAGTGGCCCCTGTTTATTCAAAATACGCAAAAACCTAAACAGTAAAACACAGACACTTGCAGTAGACCTCGAAACATTACATGAATACTTGAAATATTCAATATTTAATTGTCTTTTAAACCTGCCTATTTGCTTGAACTAGACACCTGGCATCCTGCAAGTTCATTAATACATCTAAATTAATTAATACAGCTGAAATGCAGCTAGTGTGTGTGGTGATATCACTGGTGTGAACCTGTTTCATAAAACTGTGTAGAATTGAGGTGTACCTGCTGTCCCATTGACTGTTGATAGAGTACAAGAGTCAGAGCGCACATTACGTTGCAGTGCATGCTGGGGACTGTAGTGCAGCGCACTACCAAACAGGCTAATATTAATGGAAAATTAAAATACTTCTGCAGGCAGAATAGGATTGTGTCGCAGGCCTGATCTGACCCGCGGGCCTTGTGTTTGACACATGGGAGGTAGAGGAACCCACAGCTTGTCTATTTTCCCCCCACCCTTTTGTCCAATGGCTAGCCTCTGTGCTGTGCTTAATGGTTGTGTAGTTGTACAGTTATTGTGTATTGCACAAAAGAATTTACTGTATAGTGTTCGTGTGTGTTTATTGTCTGTCTGCATTGTTTTCTGCTGCTGCCTTATAAATAAGGTATCACCGTCTTGGAGAAACTACATTTTATTCCTCTCTCAAAACCCATCTGTGACGAGAGGAAATGGCAATAAGGCTGACTAGATTTTTAATGGACCACCACAGGACCATCACTGACCACTTACTATTTGAGTCTATACTCAGCAGAGCAGTGACCCTAACAGGTTAGTGGGCATCAGGAAAGCGGTGTTCCTAGGGTATCTAAACAGTGTGCTGACCACTTTACAATACACACTCATCATCTAGCTGAGAAAAAAAGCCTTATATGGTCCTCCTGGTTCCTGGTGGTGTCCAATAGTCCCTGATGGTGTTTCGTGTTTCCCTGATGGGTTGATTTCACAGTGTAAAGGGCTCTAATGGTTTAACAGGTGTTCTGGGACTAATCGCAGAGGCATGTGATCATTTCATAATGGGATCTTCAGATGTTCTAGTCTTTTTTCAGCAGGGTCCACCTTGCTAGTGTACAGTTTGAGGCTCATCTGTCGATTCATGCTGGTCATCCTCTGTTCATTGGTGGACAGTTTTTGACAACAGTACCACTCTTGGCTGGCTTGACAGGGGGACTATTCTCAACCCAGGAGTAATGTGTGTAAAGACCCCAGAAACTCTGCCTGATAAAGTCTCACCAGTGCAGCATACACTACCATGCCAATACTCTGTCAACACTGCTGAGCTATGAATGGACCACCATCCAAATAAGATCTGGTCAGAGATGGTCCTGTGGTGGAGGGGGCTGATCAATTGTGCAGCAACACAGGGGCTGCAGTAATGTGTACTCATATAGTAGGTGTTTCTAATAAAATGGCCAGTCAGTGTAGATAAAGTATGTGTACCTTAATACACTGATCAGAATCAGAGGTTGCCTTTAAAGACACCAGAAGGTGAAATAAAGACAATCTACCTAACCTAACTTGCTCACAGACAAACCAGTAACGTCACTAGTTGTTCATAAGTTAAGCCTCTAATAGAGACGAAGCTGCAATTAGCTTGATTCACCAGCTGCGTATTCGAATTTTCCGTTCCACCTTAAATAGAGTGGCAGGCGGTAGACCGTAGCGGCTGTACCACATACGCCTGAATGGAACTGCTGTGCCATTTAAGGTGGAACGGATAATTGGAATAGGAAGCCAACTTCAGCCTCGTCTGATGGAGCTGAAAAGCCGGGAGCTTTATGGCAAACACAAGTCAATCTAACGTTACTCACCTCTGGCTCGCAGGACTTCGGCTGGTATGCTGGCAGCACCGCTGATGAGACCCTGTTCCGAGATTCCTCGAAGACTGAATCATCAAACGTGCTGCCCAGTATTTCCATCCTATAACGTCCAGCACATGCCGGCCCTTCTGTTTACTACACATGCGGAGCCCGGCCTTTCCTTCTAGTAGAGTTCCGCTGGATTCACAACTGACTTATGTGGCAACATCGCCCCCTAACGCGCGGTCTGTGCATTGCGCTGCCCAGACCAAACAGGCAAAGAGAGATATACACCGATCAAACATAACCTTAAAGTCGCCTCCTTGTTTCTACGCTCACTGTCCGTTTTTATCAGCTCCACTTTGTAGATCTACAATTACAGACTAATTTCTCTGCATACTTTGTTAGCCCCCCGTTACACTGGTCTACAATGATCAGGACCCCCAGCCTTGCTAGAAAGACCGGCATAGACCAGCATGGCTGGTTACCAGCAAAACTATGTGGTGTTTTGGATGCTGCTGGTCAGCAGCAACTGAAGTTGATATGCTGATCACCACCAAAACCAGCATGTGTTGTGTTTTGATGCGGGCATGGTCACTGGTGATGCTGGATGACCAGCTAAACCAGAACCTGACCAGCACTAGACCAGCATGGAATGGTCTTTGCTGTTTTGTTTCATCAGGTAGTGCAACATAATATAACGAACAGCATTTTAAACGCTTGGTTTAGGTCCTTCTCCTTTAAAGGGGAGTTCCACCGATTTTTCAAAATTTCCGTGTAACTAGTTGAAACGTAAAAAGGTCACTCAGAGTGGCGTGACGTCAAATGGTTTATAGTAGAGGAACTTACAGATTTCTTTACAGTGGTGGTGATAGGAACCAGGGGTCGCCATGTCTACAACACAGCTATAGTCATTTTATTTATTATCCATCTAAAATCACCAGGGAACCTACAGTGCCCTCTGTTTTTATATGTAGTGCTGATAGTGGTAAAATAATCATAAATCTGAAAGTTTCCTTTGGGGACTATTTTGCCATATAACGCTCTACATGTTTCCATCCGCCAAGATTGGATTAAAATAAATGAATTAAAATCCATTTTTAAACAAAAACGTTATCACAAAACTATCATAAACAATGTCTCAGACACCAGGCAGCATATATCTAACCACTTGATGTAATAACGCTCTCTGAGGGAACTTCCAGAGGCATTGAACTCCTTAGAGGTCTGGTTCCTATCACCACCACGGTGAACAAATACGACTCGGTAAGTTTGTCTGAAACGGAGCATTTCACACCAAAAACTCATAATGACTTTGTTTAAATCAAACCATTTGATTATGCATATGTACTAATAGCTACCTGCTACCTACTACTTTTACTGGAGTCATTAATTCAGTGGAGTAATAAATATTACAGCTTTAGGCTTTGCCCTGTTCGACCAGCAGGGGGCAGCAGCGCGATTGGAGCAGCGTTTTCTCACTGCGTGCTCTTTTTACGTCGCGTAAACACATGGTTAGTCCGTGTTGAGTTCACTCTGTGTTTTAGCGCTGTGTGATTAAACTAAGATTAGGCGCAGCTGCATGACAGAACCCAGATAAACAAGGCGGTATGAAGGTGAAAGTGCTCTGCAGGAACCCGGACGATTATGTTCGGGAGACAACGAGAGACATCCAGCGTGGTGAGTGCTGCTGCTAACATGCTAACGCTGGCTAACACAAAGCACAGCCTTCATTCAGCTCGTGGAGTTAATTTAACCCAAACCAGCTCTGCTCTAACATGATAATAACTCTACCCTCAATATACATTTAAAGGGGAACTCCACTGATTTTTCAAAATTTCTGTGTAAATCAATAGCTGAGATGTAAACAAAGTCATGGTGGAGAAACTTAGACTCAGATTTCTTTACAGTGGTGGTGATGGGAGCCAGGGGTCGCCATGTCTACAACACAAATACAGCTTTTTTATTTACTATCAAAAACTACCAGTGAATCTACAAGTGTCTTAGGAGTTTTTATATACTATGTTTGTGTATTATGATAAGGGTAAAGTAATTGTCAATCTCAAAAAAAGGTTTCTTTTGGGACTGTTTTGCCTTAGACCACCCTTCATGTGTCCTTCCACCAAGAATGGATTGAAAAATGGATTAAAAATTAAGTTTTAGATCCAAAGTTTATTGCAACACTACTGTAAAACAGTGTCTCAGATATCAGGCAGTGTATTCATTATCATTTGTGAGGGGGCTTTTAGAGGCATTAAACTCCTCAGACGTCTGGTTCCTATCACTAACACTGGGAAGAATTATAAGTCAGTTAGTTTCTCTACAATGGAGCGTTTAATGCTAAACCACTCCAGTTAACCTTAACCTTAATTTAGCATCCATCTGTGGATACTCTGTATGCTTGTGAATTTTGTCAAATTTAACTGTCATTTTCTTCCAGTTCCCAGAAATTATGACCCTACCCTCCACCCATTTGAAGTGCCCAGAGAGTACACCAGAGCTCTGAATGCCACCAAGCTGGAACGCATCTTCGCAAAGCCCTTTGTGGCCTCGCTGGACGGCCACAGGGATGGCATTAACTGCCTGGCCAAGCATGCAAAGAGTCTGTCCGTTGTGTTATCTGGGGCCTGTGATGGAGAGGTAGGCTACTGGTCAGTGGTCGTGCTTTTCTCACCAAGGGCCTGTCTCACAAAGCACGTTTAACTTAGACAAGCATGGCATTTATGACAAAAGCTAATCATGTCGAGCAGCTTATTCTCAAAGAAGAAAAATATTATGTAAATATGTAGAAAGTAAAGCATTTATAGTGTGAAAGAGCAACTCTGTCACCACTGACAGCAAGTTAGTCCTTAATGCAGAAGAGGCTGCTTTATATTATTGATATCTAGAATTACAGATTGAGTTGTTTCCTCTACTAAACAGCAACATTTCTCACCTTATTGATGCCACAAAAAGAAAATAGAAAAAAAGTGACCCGAAAAGAACCACGAAGAGGTCCACCTCTGTCCCTGTTTGGTCAGAAACTTTCCCTGATTGGTCCAAAAGCTGTTTGATAAACAAAATCCTAAAGTTAACCTCCCCTGGAGCAGGTTAGGTGTGCTACATATCGCTGTTGTCAGAAGAAAACCTCATATCTCCATTTTTGCTGTTTTTAAGTTTTTTTTTTACATAATTTGAAAATGCAGGTTGTTCTTTACATTGTGTGTAAATTTCATGATGAATGGACCAAAAGAAACGGCTCAAAATGACTTGGAAACATTAAAAGTACAGTAGGTTTTTTCCTTCTCTGTAAAGTTATCATTTTGGAGGTTTGAGGTGCTATGTTGCTATGGTGATGTATCCCAGTAAAACGTGCTCCACCGCAATGAGACAGAAAGATAAAGCTGAGCTCAAAGTTAGCTTGCTGAGCAAGAGATCCTGCGTTGTGGGACAGCCCTATGTACTCTGACGTCTCTTAACAGTCTGTTACTTGTGTCCATTGTAGGTGAAAATCTGGAACCTGAGCAAGCGTGAATGCCTGCGCACAATCCAGGCTCATGAAGGCTTTGTGAGAGGAATATGCTCTCGCTTTTGTGGAACCTCCTTTTTCACGGTACTTCACAATGTTATTGATGCAGTGTGCACATGGAACTTTAAAGGGGAATTCCAATGTTTTTGCAAAGTCTATGCATAATTATAATGTTAAGATATCAACAAGCTCATTCAGACTGCTTTGATGTGAAGTGCTTCGTTCCAGAGATATTTACTCAGCTACAGTCATTCACAGTGGTGGTAATGGGAACCAGACGTCTGAATATGTGAAATCTGTCTCTAAAAGCTCCTCACATGAAATCGGTATGGCTATGTTGCCAGATGCCTGAGACGTTAAGTGTATTTACACGCACTTAACAGTCCAATAGCTGCAGAAAATCTTTGTTAGTAATCCGATCAAAGCGTTCAAGTAAAGGGAAACGCTGAGTTACGTGAGTCAGGGAGTAAGCTGATTTCTCCTTTGTGAAATGCCAATAAACTCACAGAAGATGTGACGTAGATGTAATGTAAAACTCAAACTTCATGCCACAGCATTAACATTTACCTGAAAATATGAATGTACATCATCTACAATATGAAGGTTATTAAAGGCTGTCATTTTGTTAAGCACATAGTCGGTTTTGGCATCTCTCTAAAAACGTTTTGTTGCCATCTCACAGGGGCTGTGGTAAATGCGGCTTGCTTATTTCCGGTACCGCAGTCTGTGCGACTCAGAAAACTGAAATCAGAGTAAGAGTATACATGTGCTGAGAAACCTGATTACTGAGCTAAAATCTAGCTTTCTTTATGAAATTTCTTAATCTTACTCTGATCTAAGAAATCTGTATATGCTGTTTACATGACCATTTGAATAATCAGATCACTGCTAAAATCTGATTATGATCGGATTATTAAAGTACAGTAGTTTTAACAGAAGCGTTTGGATGAAAACATTTTTTGAAATCCATTCATGGTGGAAAGGTACATGCAGGACATTGTAAGGCAAAATAATCCCCAAAGAACACTTATTTATTCAGATTTACCCGTGATTTTACCATCAACGGCGTTACATATAAAATCAGGAGGTTCAGTAGCTGCTTTGTATAGTAAATAAAATGAATGGGTTTGTGTTAAATACATTGTGACACCTGGTTCCTGTCACCACCACTGTAAAGGAGTCAAACCACTCAATCACTTTGTTTACATCTCAAAGACTAAATTATGCTGACATTGTGAAAAACAGTGGAATTTCTCTTTAATTATGCTCTCCTGTTAATGAAATATATAGGTGGCAAGTGTTCTTTAAGTGTGTCTATGAATTGTTCAGAAAGGCTTACTGTGACATAATTAATCATGATAATTATGAATATAATTCCATTGCCCACTCTTATATGTATGTTAAGGCGGTAAGTTTGCTGTTCTGAAAGGTTCTTATTTTCTTTGGCAGGTAGGAGACGACAAAACTATCAAGCAGTGGAACATGGAGCCTCCTGGTTACGGGCTGCAGGAAGAGCCTCTGAACACTATTCTTGGGAAGGTGTGTTATGATTATAATTCTTTAAAAGTGGAATTAATCATTGTGTGAATTCACAGTTTGGCGAAAAGTATGTGGACACCTAACTATCACACTTATATGAGCTTGTTGGACATCCCATTCCAACACC